TTCAAACACTAATAAAAGATATCAAAAAGGAAATGAGAGAATATTTTGTTTTATGTATTGACTAAAATGCAGCGCTACCACTGTTCAACCCTCATCCGTCAGGGGGGAAAGGCCTTGTGTAAGGAGGCTCCTGCAGTCTCCGCTGTAGGCATCAGTGTTGTACCCTCACATGTGTGAGTATAACACTGATGTCAGCTCCTGGCAGATAAAGTACCGAGTGCTAAGAGGATCCTGCGGAATAGTGGAAACTCTAGGGAAAAAAATACACCACAGTCCAAACTGGGACAAGAGGCATTAATCATTTCCATCAATGAATCACTGAAAAATCTAAATATGTATAAATGCACACACAAACATATTTAGAGTTGGCAAGTGTCATATCAATAGTTTACAAATCAAAGAAGAAGTACTAAGGGGCTTATTCAAATAGCTCTGGTGTTTGCTGAAGTTGGAAAACGTCAACAAACTTTAGCGTTTCAAACAGAGAAATTCAAACAATGGAAATTCCCTTGCTGCTGTTTGGATTTCTCTTTCCTTCAGGGGTTGCTTGGTACATAGCCAGCCTGCCTGTTGCCTGCCCTAGATGAACGATCATTTTGATTGATGCAGGGCTCCAGCAGAGACCCACTCTGCAATGATCAGAAGCGCTTTGGAGCGCATGAAACCATGTTAGTGCGCACTCCCTGATGCTCCCGATGATTGCCGAGCAGCTTACTACTTGCCGCTGCAGTTTTTGCCAGTTGAATGACACTGACATGTTACAAGCAATATTCCCTCTAATTTTTAGTAGTAGACATGCACAGAAATATTTTGTTTCCAGTTACAAAAGTATGTACGCACTGAATGCTTATGCAAATTGAAACCTGAAATTGTTTCAAGATATTTTTTTCACAATCTTTCTCTCTTTGATAAGACTGACTTTATTGCCATATTTAGGTATAATACAAATAGAATTGTGAGCTGTATTATTATTCCCACATGCCACGTTGTCTACATTTATTTCAGTTTGCCTCCACTTTATTATGTCTACATCATGCCATATTGCCCATATTTTTTTATGCTCATCCATGCCACATTGCCTCTATGCCACATATTTTTCAATTTGCATCTATTTATGGCCACATGCCACATTGCCTACATTGTCTCCATTGTATTATGCTATGTGCCACGTGGCCTACCTATATCTGGCTGACCTGTGCTCCCTGTTGCCCCACTTCCTTTCGTGGTCCCTTCCCCTGTGACCTCTCCACTGGCCAGTTTTTCTGTGCATGATTGGGTCTGCTTGGACGGCCTTGTCACTCACAGTCCCCAAAATGACAGTACAGTCACTGTGGGGTTCCGAGTTTGGTTTCGTGCAGAGACACCATGATGTTGCGGAAGAACACGGTGACCACGTGAGGGGACAAATTCAGGTAATTAAAACTCCCCATTCACTGCTCTCCAAGCAGGGAATGTCACCTTCCGGCAGCAAAGTCACCTTTAGGGGTCTTTGCAAAATATGCAAAAATCCCAAAATGTGACAGCCACTTTAAAGAATGGGATTTGGTGCATAGATGTCCCTTATGTCTACCAGTGAAAAATATTTTTTTTCTGAGAAACGGTTTACATTTTGCATAAACTACGTCTCTAATGGCTGTAATTGAGTAGCAGTGGATTGTGGTGATTACTGCGCATGCCATTGGTGTCCTCAATGCTTCTCTAAGAAGCATTAGATCGGACACAGATTATAAGCTTGATGACCTCAACAAAGGAGGATCTGGCTGCAGTTAAGAGGCTGTCCTGGCCCGGTAATAAAAGCACATTTAATGGCCTTGTTTAACACACATGTCCAGTCCTATAACCCCTCTAACTCATGTGCAGACAGTCACATACCTAGTCAAAAAGTCACATAACTCAAACCGCAGTAGATTCTCAGTTATTTTTTTCATCTCTGAAGTTTTGGCCTAAGATTTGCAATTCCTTGATCCCAACAAATACTGGTTTAGTGAGTTACCCTGCTGGACACATTCACCCATCACATACTGCAACCTAGTCACTTTCAACCCATCATGTTACACACCCAGTCCCATACCCCCCATATTCAGGGGCAGACTGGCCAACACAAAATTGTGAATTTTCTTGGTGAGACGCTATGACTTAGGGTTGGTTGCTATAGATATAAACATTTTTTAATTTGTTTATGTTTTTAAATTTAATTACTATAAGGGCCACATGGGGACAGCAGAGGGAGGGGGGAGGCAGAGGGAACTATAGTGCCATTAATACAGATTTGTATTCCTTTAAGTGGAGTGACAGGGGCAGGCTACACACCTAGGGTAATGATGTAATTTGACTGTGCAGGCTGGGTGTCTGTGTATCAGGGAGTTTGCAATATGTGTGCATGGGTTAGTGAGTGCATGTCAGTGTGTAAGTAAACATGTTTGGTTTAGTAAGTGTGTGAGCGTGTGGGTCAGTGTAAAGGCCTCTAGAAGAACAACGTATGCCTTATAAATAGCACATAGTGCACTGGTGCTTCTCACTATTTCTAAGAAACAGAGAAAAATAACCTTACAACATATATTCTGTTTAAATTATTATACTTGACTCCCTTCTATTGCTCATAAAATGTATTCATCTCTCCCCTTCGTGATTTGGCAGAGAGGATAGCAGACATTATCTGAGCCGCATTCAGGGCCCTAGGCAGGAGCCTCATCTTCTGTTCTGTGACTGTGTGTGTGGTGGCTAAGTGTTGTATGAGTATGGGGGAAACTGAAAGGGTTATTCACTGCAAAATCCAGTCATTGTTCAGACTATTTAATGATGTGCAGAGTTTGCAAATCAGACCTGAAGTTGATCTTGATTTCAGGACTGAACACCACTGGACAGCTAAAACCCAGACAAAATCCTTTAATTTAAAAAATAATCTGAACTGTTTGCCTGCTGGCAGTGATAGTCATAAACCAACAAGTAGATTGAGCAGTGCATTCTTCACCTCTAAATATCCCCTTTCAAAACGCAGCTGAATATGTTAGTGCTATAATAATAACAGTGCTGTATCAACAGCATTATAGTACCCAAGACAAAGTAAGCAGTTCACCGGGGGTCTCCCTACACAGGGCCGGCCTTAGGCCTTTAAGCGCCCTGTGCTTGCGAAAAATCTTCACAGCGTGCCCCCCCCACCCCCCATCATCCATGTATGATGTAATGTTTGTGTTGTCTGTGTATGTGATAGTAGGTGTGATGACTGTGTGTGATATATATGCTATGTGTTGGCTGTGTGTGATATTTGTAATGGGTGTATTAACAGTGTGTGATATGCGTGTATTGGTTGTATGTGATATTTGTGCTGGAATTATTGGTGTGTGATGGTTATTTAATTCAGATAAAAACATGCATTTAAGCCTGTGTGAGAATGCAGGTGTATATTTTTGCAGAGTTATGTGCACACAGTTAGATGCACACCGTTATACATGTACACTGTCAAATCCACCACATGCACACAGTCGCAGGCAGATAGTCACATACACAGGATCAGGCAGAAACGCACAGGTACAGGCAGTAACACACATACACAGTTACAGGTAGATAAACACACTAACACACACAATTACAGGCAGACAGCCACACATACAGTTTTAGCCACACATACAGTCTTACACACACATACTTACATACAGACAGCCACACACACACAGGCAGACAGCCACACACAGAGTCAGACGGCCATCCACACACACAGGCAGACAGTCACGCACACACGCACGCACACACACACAGGCAGACATTCATACACACACGGGCAGTCAGTCATACACACAGACACACACACACACACAAGCAGTCATGCACACACATACAGACAGACAGTAATACACACAGACACACACACAGGCAGACAGTCATACAGACACACAGGCAGTCATACACACACAGGCAGTCATACACACACACACACACACACACAGGCAGTCATACACACACACACACACAGGCAGACAGTCACACTCACACTGACAATCACACAGTTACCTGTGGAGTTCATTGTGTAGGCAGACAGGCAGTGCAGCTCCTGGAGACTGTTTGTTGGGGAAGAAGGGACTCCTTCCTGCTTCCCCTGCAGCAGTTATCCAGCACTTTTAGCTCCACCCCGTCACAGTAAGCTCCGCCCCTGCTGCAATTTTTTTTTTTTAATTCCGGCCGGCCATATGTGAGCTGTGTCGGCTGCACAGCTCGCACACCCCTAAGGCCGGCCCTGTGCCTACACAACCATTCACAATGAAAATGTAAATCATCGATAACATTAAGCTTATATTTATTGGTACCTGAAACAAAATCAGTGTTTAAACATTAAAAAACATGCTGTAGAGCAGAGTTTAACCCACACAAATGTTTAGCAGGTAGCAGGGGTAGACAACTGACATGGACTGTTAAAAACATTAGAAGAACTTTGTTATAGTTTTACGGCTCCAAACAAGTCTGTGTGTTTATTTTGTCTTGCTTATGTACAAGTAGTACGTGTATGTTGTTTTTGTCAAGGTCAAGATATGTATTCGCAACAACAAGATCGCATGCACAGATAACAGCTGGTACTGAGGAGATTAGCCCACTTAACGTTTTAATAAAGATGGTTAGAAGGTTCTGAATAAATCTCCCAGAATAATATACTGAAAAGTTGGCAAACCTATGGAGCCCCTATTCTCATGGGGCCCCCAAGCAACTGCCCAGGGTGCCCATGCGTTAAGACAGGCCTTAATAATCCCCAGGTGAAAATCCACATCCCAAGCTCAAATTTTGTAGCTGAATATAAAACACAGGTGCATACATCTGCGTACAAAAAACCCCAAAAAACTTATAAATATATTCATTAACAAATACACATGTAAGTGCATTTTGTGGAATTCTGAACGCTGGTTATATTTTAGTTTTGATCTATCAGTTCAGTTTGTGCTATTGATTCAGCAGTCCTGTTTTACTAATTTTATTTTTATCAATTTATCTTTCTTTGTAGATAATCATTCAAAATGGGAGCTAAGAAGAAGATTTTGAGCAAACTGGAAGTGACACTTATTGTGCTACTCGTGTTAACGATATGTGTAGCAGGTGGACTTGTAGCGGTAATATTTATAGTGAAAAATAACGACAATTTCAATAACGGTATGTTCTATTAAATTCATTGATCATTTAAGTCAATGCAAATATATTCTTGTCAATATTGATATTTCAATAGAAATGTGTATAGGTGCTAGAACAGAAACGATTACATCTGGACAAAACTGAAAAGTGCATTTTGATGACAGCCTGAAGGGGATTAAGAGGTCAGAGCCAAATGCTGTGGTGTTTCCTGAGGCCCACAATGCTGCTAATTCCTAAACAGTTAAGTTAGGGTGTGATTGAAACTGCTTTAGGTTTGGAATTCAGGTATGATGGGCATTTCAGGAAGGAGGGGAATGCCTTGAATTAAGTGGTGATATGGGGGCTAACACAAACTGACAAAATCCAAAACAGGATCCTTGGAGTCACACATGGTATATGCATTGAGGGCTACTGGTCAGGTCTATTACATGCTATCTATTAGTTCAATAGATAAGCAGGTGACAGATCATTGACACAAGAGCAGATGAATAATCAAAGGAAGTTGTATTGTGCAAAAGACAAAATTCTTATCATGCAGGACCAGCTCATTGGCTAAGATTGTCACCTGATTGCTTTTAGCAAAAGAGCTAAGGCCTACACCACTGGGTTTAGCTCCGGCATAGAGAGTCAAACCATTAGAAAACATTTGTTTACTTATATGGGGAGAAACTCTAGGGCACTCCTGGCCCCATAACGACTACAACCGGTTCTAGTTATAACAATGTTTGAATTGTTCCTTTTACAATTCATTGTCAAAGTATGGATTTTTTCTGGGCTTCCAAGAACTTGTTTAGCATTTAGTTTACATTGAAATGCATTTAGAATATATATCTTTTCTGACTCTAAATATTAAGATGGTAATATGGTAAACTGTGTTCATATGGTGAATACCATGGCTGAACTACAGAACATATCAACTATACATTTGCATAACCATTGTTCAGGTTACCCGCTTCTTTATCTGTTTTCCTTTATTTTTAAATATTTAGTGAAAAACAAAATCACTTAATTTTCATATGACAGGGGTAGGCAACCTTTGGAACTCCAGATTCATATAATGCTGGCCACATCCATAACATCTGGAGAGCCGAATGTTGCATTAGAAAGTTATATGTTGGGCCAAATTTTTCCTTTGTTTTTTTTAAATGATTTGAATACTGACTGGATTTGAAAAATGAAAGTGAAGTCAGATCTAGAAAAGACGTCCATGGACAGTTTGATCTGAAGGAGGTTTTAAGAATTAGATGTGCCAGTCTAGCAATAACAGCTGGAGGCCTACAATGTGTGTCTACTGTTGGCCATTCTCGGATTGCTACTTTGAAATGTGTGAACAGATACAGACTCTTGCAGTAGAAGACATAAATTCAGGATATTAGAGTTAACCACCACACCCCTATGGACAGAGACTGGCTCTGCTTGTGGATACTTTTCCAAGCAGGGTAGCCATGCCTTATGGCACCAATATGCTGTAGGTATCAAACAGAGTGACATCTGTCACTCAATTTCTCTATTACCTCTAAGCATGATAAACTCCTATTGGGAGGAAAATCTGTGACATGGAACAGGAGAACCCCCTGAAGGAAGGTTTTACTGCTCTCCTTTTGTCGTTTAATCTGAGATGAGGTTTGTGCCGAGAGTTAGAGATAGATGAGGGAGCGGTCAAACATAATACCATAACCTTGTCTGTTTGTTGAGGGTTATGGGGCTAAAGGACTCTGCACGTGCAGCTTTTCTTTTTGAATATAATACAAATATTTTATAATGTATTTGCCTGTCCGCTTGCACAGCCTTTACAACTGCAGGTGCACTATGTAGGCTGCCTGTGCTGCGTTGGGTTGATCAGTCGATAGCTGCTCTGTGAAAAGCATTTGATTGGTCATTGCCCAGCACACGCAAAAACGCTTTAGAGCAAAAAAGTGTATATTTTTTCTGTAAATGCATTATTCATAACTATAACTATACATTTGCTACTATTTTTGCAAGCGCAATGTGTAGATTAATGTTTTTCAATTTGAAGGTAATTTGTATGTACCATGCCAGTTGAGAGGAATAATATATTTGATATTGTGCAAAGTTTAGTTTGTAACAAAACCAAGTATTTTTGTAATCCTCTCATTTTACAGCTGCACCAACAACTACTACAACACCAACAACTACTACAACAACAACAACAACAACTACTACAGCAACCACAACCTCAACAGCAACTACCACAACTACAGCAACAACCACCACAACCCCAGACCCTCACCCTGATGCCTACCGTATTGGTGTTGGGAGGGCGGATTGCACTGGTCTGTTGGCAGATGTTCCCTTGGTTAGTACATTTTGCATGTATTTGTATATAGTTTTATGCATGTATGTATTTTTGCAATTCTTGTGTGTAGATATAAATGCCCTAGCAAGATAAAAATAAATAAATATTATTATTAGTAAAATAAAACATTTTAATAATCCTTATCTGTTAAACCATTTGACTGTGTCTGTTTGATAGGACAAAGCCCCTTGGGATATGGATAGAGTGAAATGTAGTGGTGAGGATTTAATTGCCAAATATCAAAACATGAATATAATTTTATTCAGCAATACACACATCTAGCATACAAAGACTGATAACATTCTAATCACTCCTAGCTCAGTGAATGCTGGAACAGCCTGTAAATGACCCCATGAATGCTTCTGTGTTTCTGTCAAAATTATGTTGCCTCATGTGAAGGGAGAAGAACTGGATTACAAAGATAATATTTGGGGTCTAAAAATTCCCACAATGACCTTTATCCACTTCCAAAAGTGCATTCAATGGGGACATAAGTGTCAGAACTGGACATTGGAGCAATGGCAGAAGGTTGTCTGGGTTGATGAATTACATTCTCTTTTAGATCATTTGAATGGCTGGGTGTGTGTGCACTGTTTACCTGGGGAAGTGTGCACTGTTTACACTGTTTACCTGGGGAAGAGATAGCAGCACTTTGGGAAGTGCAACTTTGGGTTGTTACTTTGAAGTTCAATGAGCCATGGGGGTGGTCGGTGTTCTGTCGATCCAACTACCGAATGCAGGAAAAAATGAACTGGGCCAGAGAAATACACTTTGTCACAATTGGTACTGAAAAAAATATATGTACAGAATTTCTCCAAATTTTTACTAAATTTTGCAGTTTTCTTATCAATGCCCCATAATTCCTGGTTTAGTAAATAACCTTTTTAGAATGTGAAAATAAATTCATATACCTTTCTTTGATTACTTATTTTATTTATTTACTTTCAAAAAAGCAGGTTTATTGTTAAAATGCACCAACAACAAATTCTCAAAACCCCCAAAAAAGAAAAGGATATATTCCAATGAGCTGATTTTTTTCACTCTTTTTTGTTTTTTTTCTTCTTCTGTGTTTACTATAATTTTTTTCCATGCAATGGGTTGATAAATACTATCTAGTTATCAGACAGACTTTTCCACTCAGATACTTATTTATATCTAGGATTCATAGATAGCGATTACAGAAACTTTAAACTGTCTTACGCAGTTAGATCAGCTAGCTGTAGCATCATTTATATCTTCGTCTGACAGGTATATTCTACCATTGCTGATCCCTTGATCATTTAGAACATGTGGAGAAGTGGGCAGAACTGTGCAACCACACAATAAAATGTAGATTTATACTTCTGGAAAATCCCAGCTAATTAGTGATTCTCTAACATCTGACAAGGGGTTGAACATAACTCCTATCTTATCATTGTTGATCCTTTAATATATTGTAAAACGTGTCACATTCAAAGATGTGTTATTATCGAAGGTCAATCTATCAATCTAAGATATCAATAGTCGTGTACTGTATGTGATAACATGTTTTGCAATAAAAGGAACTGCTGTCAAGGTTCACAGCACAAATGAATAAAGCAGTTGGAACACAGGATGCACAGAGAATTTGAAAGGGGAACTAACACCGAGGAGTGCACTACAGGTTATTAAAAACACGCTCCCCAAGCACTTCTGGGTATGGGTGCATATATATTCCCATAGGAGCTCTGCACCTTCTTCCGATAATCCTGTTGAGCAAACATCCTTGGCAAAGACAGTACATGTATGTCTATGGCTATTATGAATATTATAATATATAAACCGTGTTACACTGGTTACAGTGCTTGTTTCTACTTTATTTGCTTTCATTGAGTAAAAAGAAATCAGTATAAGTTTGGTTTACTAGAAAATGTTTTCTGTTTCACAGTTTTTTTGGTCTTAAATTCACTATATGATGGTTTTGTTAATGTGTTCACGAATCTCATTCAGATGGATTGTGACTACTTAAGGATATACTCTAGCACCATAACTACTATAACATGCGGTATTTGTTGTGGTTTAAATACTCCCCTGGCACTATCCCATGGTATGCTGTCAAATTCACACTCTCACTTAGTGACTGATGTCTAAAGTTACATTTAATATACAATTTGACAACTTACTTTGGTATGGCCCCAGTGGACTCCAAAATATTTCCTTTTTCAACAAACAGATGGTAATGGTAAAAGTGTTTTGTCAAAAAGTATCAGAATGTTGAAATTGTGATCACTTCACACCGGTAATGGCTAATCGACAACAAGGGTAAGCATAGTCTGATGTACATGTCCCAGGCTCAGATAGAGGCCCAGTGTTCTCCGTCTGGGCCTGGAGCTCAGTGAAGGAGCCCTCCTTAAGCAGACAGAGAGATTCAATGAAAAATAGTTTTAACCACATAACAATGTTAGGACGTCAGTATATCCTATCTACACTGGGTTTTAACAATGTTAGGAAGTATTAACATGTCCTAACATTTTGCTGTGAAATACCTGCTCACACCCAGTATCCCAGACTGGCCAACTGGGATATCAGGAAATTTTCCAGTGGGCTGTGGCACCTTGGGCCAGGCAGTGCAGCAGATTACATAAAACATTTTATATTATTTTATTTTTCCCTCCCTCGGACTGTTGGGTGCTGATACAGCCTACTACCTGGACACATTGAGACTGCGAACGGCCAGTACACTGGCTAAGGGAGGAGCAGTGGGCATTCAAATGCCTTTTTCTGCAAAGCAGGGTGTGCAGGGTATAAGTTCTGGTCACACCAGGAAGCCCCAGGTCTCCCCTCTGTCAGCTAGAGTTCTATTTTGTGGCCCCAGGCTGAACAATGAACTGTATCCAGTACTCAAAGACCTAATGTAAGCGTAGGGTTTGAGGTATTTATGGTATAGGGTTAACGTTGGCTACCAAAAATGTATTTACATCCTACATACATCAAACATTTAACAATCAGAAAAAATCTGTGAATGTGTATTGATCTTTTTTTATTTAGTTGCACTAAATGCATGAAAATGACATCTTTCCAATGTGTTTATGACATTCCACCATCTTGTTTTTTTTGTACAATGCAAAATGTCAAAGTGTAACAGCCACAGACACCACATATATAGTGCTTTATCACGACACAGGTTCCACAAAAATTATTATAATGTAGCATTACATTACCATTTTGTAATAGACATGCTATTTAAAAATCTGATTAATAATTATTTTAAAATAAAATTTAAATAAATGAAATGGTTATATTCTTTCTGTCTTGTTCTAGATGGGTTACGCAAGTAGTGACCAGATTGCGGGAGGAATTCACACCCGTCTCTACAGTCGAGCCTTTATAATAGCAGAACCTGATGACTCGAAACGAGTGGTGTTTGTGAGTGCTGACATTGGAATGGTGTCACAGAGAGTGAGATTAGAGGTTGGTATTCTAAAAATTCATAGCTTTTTCACAAAATTGAATAACTATCTAGTTTATATTTGTCAATCAAGGATATTATGGAGCTGGGGCACCATCATTTGAAATTGTTCTAAAATCTGGATCTGGGTGCCTCCATCTTGGCTCTCAATCATTGTGATAAGCTGTGTCCATATTAAGTAAAGGTTGAGAAGCAGAAACAATGTTTTTATTTGCTCTTGCCAACATAAGACTTTTTGGGACCTAGCTCTAGTTTGTCTGAGAATATAGTGGATTTTAGATTGCAAGTATCAGTGTGGTCAAGGTGTTTGGGTCTGCTTTTCCCCCGTAAATATTATAAATAATGCAAGTAGGAGGGTAGGGGTGATTCAGTTCGATATTGTACAAATTGTTTTAATATCTGGATCTAGGTGTTTGTCTGAGAATATATGGGGTTGTAGATTGCAAGTATCATTGTGGTCAAGGCATTTCTGTCTTTTTCCTTTTTTTTCGTAAATATTATAAATAATGCAAGTTGGAGGGTAGGGGTGATTCAGTTCGATATTGTACAACTTGTTATAGTAATATCTAAAGACACCAACAATATGGTGGGTAGGATGAAAGGATTGGCCTAATGTTGAACATAAGGAGGGAATAAAAATGTGTTGGAATTTTGCTTCAATAGCTCTAGGAAGTAGTTATACTTTTATTAGTATATTTTAAAAAAAAATCAGTCTGGTTTGATCACAGGATTTCAGTATTCTTATATAAAGTTTAGAGAACAATGTGTTTCTTTTAAGAATACGTTTGTGTAGTTGAGTTTAAATCTCTCTTGTGGAGTGTTTCAAAATGGGGGATTTCCGACTCTAGAAGAGAAACCGATCCTAACGTTGTTTGTTACGGGCCTGTCCGAAAAAAAATACTTCCCAGAATACAGAGAAACCTACATTGGGGGAAGCATCACCATTGGAGAAATTCTAAAGTAACTGTGAGGTTTATGCTGCGAAAGTAGTATCTGAGGATAGAGTACTTTACAAAGGACCTTGCACTAATGGTGCTGCAGAAAACTAAGGGAAGTGATAAATTTGATCCCTTTTTATCTTTTTCCTTTTTCTTTCTTTTCTTTTCTCTTGTTGTTGTCATCTCTCTCTCTTTCTCCTGTCCTTTTTTTACTTATTTCAACCCCTTCCTCTCCATCTATCCTCGCTGTCCTTTATTGAGATTAGGCAGTTAAAAATAAAAACAGCAGGAAAAAAGCAATTCAGAAACAATCTATTTACCGGGAACAAGAGGGTGGGGAAAATGACATCTGCCTATGGTTTATACTGTAGTTCTGTCCCCAATGCTTGAGGAACTCTGCTTGAGAAACTGTCCAAGTACTTCAATGCAGGCTGACCTGCTTTTTGTTTGGACTGTAGCCATGACAAAGCCACTTTTATAGCGGTGATATCTAGTGAGAAGTCCTACATGCACCCAAGTGGCGGTCCATGGCCAGTGGTCATAAATCAGGCCGCGACCTCTGGATGTGGCAGGGGAGAAAAGATCTGCCTCTAAGGACAGCAACTGCAGTTGCAGATTAAAAGCCTCAAATTATCTAGTGCTGCTTCCCCAATGTATGTTGCAAGAACAAACATTTAAGTAGATAATAATGAAAAAAGTACTCACAATGCATTGGATGTGTAAATATATAGATGATCTGGTGCAAAAAAACTATGTTCCAACAAAAATCTAGATTAATGAAAAATGAGGAATATATTGCACTCTTGAGGCTCTCAAGACCGGAGGATAAATTCACAAGGAAATTGCAAACTCTGGCCCAAACGTAGCAAAGTCTCAACTTCCTAGTTTGAAAATGAACCCTATTGTTTATATTTTTCTATTTTATCAAATTTAATAAACGAGTCTCCCTGAACCATGACAGTCACAGGAAGTACAGAAGGGCAATTAAAGGTTTTTTGGAAAACACATGTATACCTTATACCGGTTACTACTTCTCTGAACAAGCAGTGTGTAATATTTTATTCATTAAATAACATTCTAAGTTAAAAAGAAAACACTACATTGGTTATTTCTTAAATTAGGAATTCGGGAGAATTAACAAAGGACTTGCAAATTGTAGATGTGTGCTTTAAATTTCTCTTGTCTTTTAAAAAAAAAAAAAAATACAAAATGTGTTTACCACCATGTACAATAATGTATTAGATTGTTTTTTGTTTCATTACTTTTTTATTTTTTTATTTTTACTATACCAAGGTGATAAATGAATTGAAAACCAGATATGGTAATGCCTACAGACAAGACAACGTTATTCTCAGTGGAACGCACACACACTCTGGTCCTGGTGGCTATTTCCAGTACACTATCTTCATGCTGACAAGCAAAGGCTTTAGCAGACACGCTACTGACGCCATAGTCAATGGAATAGTGAAGGTATGTGAATTATATGCAAGTTTAATAACAAGCGAGATGACTCACTTTCTTGAGTATTGACACAATCAGGCACACACGCACATGAAAAATCTGCAAATGTTATGAAGTTTAGTAAACAATGTAACTCATCCTTTAATTTGCCAGCATTTACAGTGCAAATAAGAATGTTTCCTAAAAATGGCAAAAGCGGTGTTTATTGTGTCTATTTTTAGTCCAAACTATGACCATTTATATGGAGAAAAATGTTAACAGATCATTTTTTTTGTTGTTTTTATTTTTAAATTTGGAGAAATGAGAGATCATAATGACAACGAATAGTATTGTCTCAGAGTGATTCTGATGATCCTCTGTCAGCATGGAATGTCATACTTATTCACAATCCGCATTTACACATATCTCGGCCAATACTAAATTGGAATGTCAGGGTAATGGACTTTGTACCATATTGTTCTCTTGTTATAATCCGTCATAAGTCCTTAAAGGGTTATAGAATACAAACCGTTATATGTTTACACATTTTTTAATTAATCTACACCATTTAGACATTGTTTGTGCATTCTTGGAGAGTACACTGCAATAAAACAATATTCTGTTGTTGCAGAATTCACCCGATGGCCAAAAGTATTACTGGACAATCTGGGGATTTATACTTTTAAAGTAAACAAATGTTATAAATATTTGTGATGTGATCTAACGAATTAAAATTTTGCGTTGCTTCTTTTGTTTAGAGCATTGAGATAGCACATGAAAACATGAAACGGGGAAAAATCTTTTTGAACAAAGGCATTGTAGAAAACAGTCATATAAACAGAAGCCCATCTTCTTATCTCCACAATCCAGAGAGTGAACGAGAAAGGTGAAGGTGTCGCAATAAAAACCATAACTTGCTGTTAATGTCTCCAACATAAAACATTATCTTCCTATTTAGAGCAATGCTTAGAGCCACCTTACTTGCGATAGATTGGTATCATTGTGATGATGTTTGAGAAATTATGCTGTGACTTTTAAGAAATTAGCTACTAGGGTGAACTGACTTAGATTCTGAGATCTCTCAGAGAAATTTTTTGCACAAGTTCACCCAACTTGGACAGGAGACACATTGGGTCTCATAAAAATGGTCCTTGAAAAGTTCATGGCAGGTTCCAGTACTACAGCCAAAGATTGTTTACAGATCATTATAAAGGTGATCCAATTTTACATTTGGTTCAAGCTGATCAGTATCCGTTGCACAATATCCCACCTTTTTATTTGAGTCCTTGGTTTTATACCCAAAACAGAATATGAAAGAAAATCATAACAAATGTGAAAAGTGGTTGAATAAAGGGTAGATGAGTCTGACGTACAAAGTATTAAATCTTTTTAACCCCACATCAGAGGCAGAACACCTTCACATGCATTTCAGTGGTACCAGGAATAATTCTGATACATAGGCGTACAAGTCTTTAAAGACTTGAAAAATCTATATCTGCTAAACTACACAACAATGTTATCTCAACTTCAAGAAGAGATGAAGGCATGGTCAGTACCACATGTCACGTGGTATCGATGCATACATTCTACCAAAATGAATCTGCTACCTTGACTACTCTACTTGTTCAAGACCACACCAATATACATACCGCGGACATTCTTTGCCTCCCTTAACTCAGCATTTGGCTGATTTGCGTGGACGAACAGCAGGTCGAGGTTCAAGTTTGACCAACTTATAAGGCCTAAACAATTGGGTGGACTGGGTCTGCTGTTCTTTAGCTGACGTTGGAGTGGGTGACAGCAGAGTAGTTGATCCCAAAGATGATATGGCTGGAAGACAGAACAGGTAGAAAATTGATAACAACACAACCCTTAATAGATGCTACGTTAAAAGTATGGTACCAGCTGTGCTTTCAATTATCGCGCTTCTCTAACTATGAACCGATGTATCTGATTACAGCAAATCTGTCCTTCTCAGCCAGAACAAATGTACATGCCTACGACTCCCTTGGAAAAGGCCCAGGCCTCCTTTATCAAACTCTTCGCTCAGGAGGTAATTTGACCCGTTTGGTCAAGCTGCTTCAGGAGAGGCAACCTACTCTGCTGGAAACCTTTCAATACCATCAGCTCAACCATTCTACGCTACACCCGCAACTTTTACCATTTGAGGAGTTCTGCTATTGAGCAACAGCTCCACTCTCTTATATTGCAACATCTCCACTCTCTATTAATTGATCCTCACAGGAACCCAACCAGTCTGGTTCAGATTCAAGTCTTGCTGGAAGGCTGCTCTTCAACTATCTTTTTCTGAAGAAGACTGGTAAAAAATGTTGATAGTGATGCACCTCTATGCTCTAAATACCAAGAGATCAATTATCAAATAGTAATATTGTTTCGACACACCACAAAAAAATTATCAAATTATTCCCAGGGGCAATAGATCAGTGCTGGACATGCCAAATCGTTCCTGTATATTTATGTGGACTTCCCACTTCTATCTCCTTGTTAGAGAAGGGTGTATGATGTCATGACCACGGTGGCAGGCAAGACAGTGGAATATAATCAAGTGCATATGCTATTAGGCTGCACTAAATTTCCTATCTCTAAATATAAGAAAACGATTCCCAAACAACTGTTAACTGCTGCCAAATTGCTTATCATTATCCTCTTGCTGCAGAGTGGGCCATTGCCACACCAGAGTTCGCTGGACCGTGTGGAGGAGATGCGCTAGATGGAGAAACATACGGCTGTTCTCAAAGCCGGTTTGACAAATATTGAGGAGATTGGAAGAACTTAGCAGTTCTAGTTAAGTACTAATATATGAACAGACAGACTTTGATCTCCGAGTGAGACAAGAAAGCTTGGCAACACCTCCCATGTCCCTCACACCCCACCTCATTTTCTTTTCTTCTCTCTTCCATTCTCACTCCCCTCATCTTCTTACACCACCTCTATGTCTGCACTTACTCCCGTTTGCATAATTTTCTAGTCTCCTCCTGCCAAGATAACTCCCCTAGTTGGGGAACCAGACTGCATGGTTATCTTGGCAGTTATCTTGGAACATCAGAGCTAACACCGTAGTGTTTCGACACTAACCTTTACTTACCGGTTCCTGTATATACTACCTACTTATCGTGATTTTACATGTGTATTGTATTCTTCCTGTCATTACTAATTAAATCTTGAAAACAAAGATTGTCATAAAAAAAATGCCAGCTTTTTAAACATTATTTTTTAATGTTTTCTTTAATCATCTGTATTGTTTTTATTTTTTTCTATATTTTGCTGTGATACTTTCCTCTTTTCTCATGATCATTTTGCATGATCTTGAGTCCGATTTAGCCATTAAATGACTCAAGATCACTCTCACTTGTACATTCAAAGAGTGATGTCATCAACAGTCATCACCCTCTCAGCAGTTGACACCCAGGAAGCATTCACATCTCTGCTTTGGGACAAAAAAATGCTTCTATTTCTGGGTGTTCAGTTCATATTTTCACTCTTTCTATATTTTTTCCCCCTAAATATTTCCTTCAAGGTAGCCCATCAGCTTTTGGTAGGGCAACCGTTTGCATGATGTCATGCTGTCCTCAAGGCAATAAAACTATTTTTTTTTATAACTTCATTAAATATCATGCAGGTAAATATATATAGCAGTTTATCTATTAAAAAAAAAAAAAAATCTTTTCCCAAGCAGCTAACATTGATGAATCCTACCTAATAATGAAGTAACAGCAAGTCTTTTCTCTGCAGGTACCCAAACAACACAGACAAATATATGACCATAATGAAGATGGTAGATATGAACAACCAGGATATTGGGTTGATCAGGTAAAAAGGATTATATATTACAATAAACCAGAAACAGATGTAATAAAATGTAAAAGTGAGAAAGAATATGAAAAATGGAGGAATACAATTATTCTTGATAAAGAAGGGACAAATACAAGAGGCACAGGGTAAACCAATTAAAGAGATAGAAATGAAAGGCAATGTTTGTGGACAGAATGAGCATAATTTTGTCTTTTTTGTCATTATTATATGATGTTATTTAGAATTGTGTACTATTTACAGCTGGTTTGCCGTACACCCAGTGAGCATGGACAATAAAAACCACCTTATAAGCAGTGACAACATGGGCTACGCATCGTATCTTTTCGAACAAGAAATTAATAAAGGGTTCTTGCCTGGAGAGGTTGGTGTTTTATATCTTTATATATTTGCGCTACAAAATGTCTTGTTTGCTTTTTCTTATACAAGTGTATTATTTGCAACTGTTTTGCATGTAGAGAATTGAAAGGGACGACTGAATATTGTTTGAAAGTTCATGAACTGATTGTACTTTTGAAAGATTAATAAGCAACAAACATTCTAGCTACAGAATGTATTAGCCATGGTTCAAAGTCCCGTATTGAGCATCAAATAAAGGTCGGAGGTGAAGCTGTGCAAAGTTGATCTATACAGAAAATAATCACCGATTTACCAGGATGCATACACTGAAATATTCTCTCATGTTGAAAGTATGTGTTAGGTTATAGATTCTATTCTTACATTGTGTTTTGTAAGCCAAGTCAATTGTATTGAACAGAGTAATCTCACCAGTAGTCAAAGAACCACTAAAGTCATCTGGACCAGATTATCCCAAATTAAGTGGTTTGGGTGCAGTTGTACTGACTTTTTAACTCTACAATGTAAAATATTTCAACTTAATTTTCTATTTTGTTGAAACTGGAGAGAAATTAGGTGGAAGTATACCAAAGCGCAAAGACTCTCGTTGAAACCCAACTGTTTCTCAGATATGAATATGTAAATATATTACTATTTGTTAAGGTAGTACATGGGTTGTAACTTAGAGGAACGTACATCTATCCTTCAGATATGGGAACGTACCTCTTTTCAGAACATACCTCGATCCTCATGCAAATAGAAGAACATGTAGACTAGATTGGACAATTGAATTTCATGTCTCACTGATATTGATGTTCTATGCAAAATAATTCTTCTGCAGGGATCGTTTGTAGCTGCATTTGCATCATCAAACCTTGGAGATGTGACACCAAATACCAGAGGTCCTCGTTGTATAAATACAGGCGAGTCATGTGAAAACCCTACAAGTACCTGTCCAGACGGAGGGGTGAGTGAGTCATACACTACTGCTGTATTGTTCACATATTAGGAATAAATGCCATATGTGTCTATCCACGACAGTAGAATATTGTAAAGAAGCAGAAGGTATAGAGAGCGAAAAGAATGTGGGGTTACTCCCAAGTATATTTAGCTGAAGCTAGAGAGGGGCTGTAACCATACGGCCAATATCGGCCGTGGGTATTCTTTATACATAACTTGCACGACCAAACTGCTCCACTAAATGCTAGGACTCATCTTTGGTAGAGTATGCAGGATATACTGAGTTGATATCTGATTACTATATGATATGTAACTTGATTAGCCCACAGCATACATTATACAATACATTATAAGACTATGCTTAATGTAGTTGTTCTGGTGTCTATAGCATGTCCTTGCAGCTGAGCACTGTAAACACTGCCATTTCAGAGAAAAGGAAGTCAGTGTTTACATTGCTGGCTAGTAACACCTCTCGTGGCCACTAGAGGCGCTTCCTGGGTCAGTGCTGCATAGTGTGCAGCAGTGGCATTCAGTCTCCATGGTATGCATGGAGACACAGTGTTCCCTATAGAGATGCATTAAGTCGATGCATCTCTATGAGGAGATGGTGTTTGGCGCAACGTGACATCTTTCTGTGCATTATCAATAGCCACCCAATGCTTTCCTACAGCAAAGCATTGGATTGACTGAGATCATCAAGATACATGAGCTCCACCATGGAGGCAGAGCCAGACATGACTAGCCGTGGCTAAACCAGCATGGGAGAAAAGGTGAGTGAAATCTCTTTTTACTGCACAAAGTGGGGGTTGGGGGGTGGGGGTCACCTAACAGTCATGTCTGATACTATAGTGTTCTTTTAAAGATAGCATACTTTAAAGAATAGGATAGTGTTAATAAAGGGTAACACAATGTTAAATGAGAGAGATAACTATGTTAAGCAGAGGTGGATTAATCATAAGATGACCCTTGGGGGTGCCGCGTAAGGCCCAGTGTTAATACAGGGGCTCCAGGACCATGAATGTGCTTAGCTGCAATAACCATCCCTATGTGAATAATGGAGGGGCAAACTGCCTAGGGCTCTGTTGGATCTTAATCCTTTTCTGATGGTGGAAAGAGGGAAACCATGGCAGTAAGAGCAGGAAAAAAACAACAACCTGAGGTTTCTGAAGATGAAATGGTTAGACTGTGTGGGTAACAAAATGGAGGACACGAGTTGAGTAGAAGGCCATGAGTAGAGGGAACATGTAGACTTGAGATATGAGGATTGCGCTAAAAGGTGTGGAATACAGATATAGTAAAAATACTTAGTCACCAAAGATGCTGTGCTGCTAAGGATTTAACCCCCTTTCATTTTTCCTGTTACCATGTTCTGCCTGTTTTAATGTATTTTTATGACTTTCAAGCAGACTACTGCAAAATATCTACATTAAGGCTGTAGGCTGATGACAATGTTTATATTAAAACCTTTTAAATCAATAATCACTCCATCATCTAACACCTTGATACAGCTCTCAATCCCAGCATATTATTTCCTTGTTGTGTGTTTGTTATTAAAATGTTTGCATTGTATTGTCATTGCTGTCTTTGTTGAATCTGCATTAATTAATAATAATTTAGTTTGCAAAAAAATATAAAAAAAAATAAATTCAGATCATTTTATTTCACATTTATCATTATATAACAATGATCGTATTCCATACAAGTAAAAGTAACGTTTGATTGTTTTCTAATCCTATGATCAGGTAACGACCTGCATAGCCACTGGACCTGGAAAAGACATCTTTGAAAGTACACATATCATTGGAGAAAACATTTTCTTTAAGGCCAAGGTTAGAAATAGCAATATTTTAAACTAAGCTCTGCTTCATAAAGAGTCTATTCATCTTTAAGGACAGTAAGAAAACTATTTATAATGTTTAATTTACTTCTTTAAAGGAACACTCTAATTAAAAATATGTATGTATATTTATATATGTATATGCAAAAACACACACTGCAGTGCAATAATTTTAGGGAGGTGTTTAATTCTTGTAAATTATAAATGCTTTAAAAAAACAAGAAAACTCTTTTTTGTTTTTTTTTTTATAAATTAACTAAATGAGCAAATAGAAGAAAAATCTAATTCAGATCAATATCTGATTTAGGACATAGAACAGGAGGTGTAGTTATGTAAGTATTAGTGGCCTGTTTTTCTTCTCTTTGAATGTACAAATTTTTTCCTTGTTTTCAATCATTAGGATTTGTATGAATCAGCTTCCACTGAAATACAAGGATCGCTGAATTCAGCTCACCAATGGGTTGACATGAGTGATGTTACAGTGGAGATTAATGAAACCCATACCGTAAGTGTACAAACCTCTCACAGAAATATACATCTTCTTGCTTGTTAGGAATATATTTTTCCTCATTCAGGAACTGAGTTTTTAATTTATCTTGTTACAATTATTACTTTTCATTTTATTAACTGCGTCACTCTGAGCACCGAATCCTCTACGACGTATTGTTATGGTAATGTTGCAGAAGGTCTTTTCACTGCATTTGCCTAGTTTGTGTCAGACCATTTTCTAGGAATCTGATACACTCAAATAAACCTGTCCTTCAAATATGGAGAAGTATTGGGTGACTTCACACCTTTCTAGAGTGCTGAACTGGAACGTGGGTGGCTCATGAAAAGGCTTTAATAAATGCACCCCTTGTGGCTGTGGCTTGGCTTGGCTTCATTGAGAAAGGAGGAGTGGTGGCTATGTCTAATCCCTTTGTCCTAACAACCTTGCAAACGTGGGAGAGGTTTGACACCCAGCATTTTCCCACCACAGATCTGGTCCATTACTTTCACTTTGGGACAATCTGATTTTTCTGGTAGGCTCTAAGGGCAATTTTGCTTGTATACATCTAGATAAATCTCATCCTAGAGCCAAACACATTTTTGCGGGTATAAAAGAGATGGTCCCATGAAGGCTCTGTTGTCTGATAGACCATTGATTGTTCTACACTTCTTTATAAACATGCAAGTTATTTTTGACAATCTTTATTTTAAGTAATTTCAAGTACATACATTTGCAGGGGAAGGCAAAGGTATAATGTCACTCTATTATGTTAGAACTTACAGAAACATAAAATTTGGCGTTAGGAGACGTTCGAGAAGTGTGTAGTAGGAAAGAATTGAGCAAACCAGAAAATAACTAAACTGGCCTTGCATTACTTATCTGAAAGATGCTGACTGGTTGGGCCTGTAGAATGCTATTGGGTTTTCTCCATCTGATATTTTTTCCTATAAACTTTTGATGATGAAGTTGCGAGTTGCTGGGGGGGAGGCTTATAAGGAGGAGAGATCAAGAATAATTGGAGGGCATGTATGAGGGTAAGGGTGTGTTGACAGAGGAAATAAAAATTTGAAAAAAAAGAAGAAAAGAGAGCAGAATTGTAGATGTTGGATTGACTAAGGGGGATAAGCTAGACAAGCTAACGGTATGCTATTGGCTGCCGGTAGACACAAGATTTGGATCTTCTAGTTTTGATACAAAATTAAGCCAGGGAGCCATGTAGTGTGAAATGTTTTAGTCCTGTTTTGTATGGAATCCATCAAAGCTTACGTTTGTTTTATGTCCTCTATCCTGGCAATTCACTGATAGTGTGAGTGTGTTTTGTTAGAGATTTTTTTGTATCGGGTATTAGCATCACGGTTTGGGGGAGCAGCATCTAGGCTGGCTGCAGTGGTGCTACATCCCCCCATATTTGTTTCATGGTTGAATTTATGGATTGCCAATATGGAACTATAGATGCCTTTGCCACCAAGTGTGTAACAGTGATCCCACTTCCTCTACGCACCGCCAACATAGATCTGAAATCTCGGTATTGAATTTGTGAAATAATTGTGAAGTGTGGTACAAACAGGTTAGTAGCTTCCCACCTAGTGATGAATCTGGATGGCACAGAAACTGTTGGTGTAAGGAGCAACTGATACAAGACTTAGATACTCCGGGAAAGCCTCTCTCGAGTAGGACAGTAGGATTCAAAGGTAGCGATCTGTCATCAGAGATTAATTTGAGGGGACGGTGATTTGTGCAAATTAGTGACTTGAAAGTAGTGAAGCCTATCTATCCCTTTCAAGGTTTCTTCATCTTTAGTTTCGTAAGGAGGAGTAACTTTTAGTTTGCAGTAACATGCAGCAGTTGTACGAAAGTTCCCTGCCACGGAAGGTCAGGTTTAGGGGATGGCTACCAGTGGAGAATTCAGGAAATTAGTTAGTAGGAGCATGAGGCCTGCAATGGTAGTTCAATTGTGTTTAAGACTTGAGGGTAGTACTGATGAATGAATGTTGCAGAAGAGGCTGTTGGATCTTGGTTCTGTCTAGCCAGACCATGGCCGGTAATGAACTACCAGATTTCTCCAGGTCCAAGTGAATCCTATGGGCTCACGCTGGGTGTACATGACAATCTACTAGCCTTGAGAGGTGAGTTTCCTCATAGTATTCAATGAGGGAAGTAAAGTCATTTCCCCCACATGTTTCAAAAAGCATAGGTGTTTTAAGCAAAGGTGTGGGCCTTGTGTCTCCATATAAAAGTGCATATTGCATAAGTCAGGTAGGAGAAAAAAAACCATAGGGTACAGTTTTTGGTATAGTTTGGAGTAAGTACAGAATTCTGGGGAGAAGGTGAAAAAAACTATTAAATCTTGCTCCAATAAATGAACCAATATAATATTATTACTGGCATTATTCTTTCTTAGAGGCTCTACCTGAAGGAAAGATACAACACAAAGAATATATATTGTAACAATATTGCGAAACAAAGTTTATCAATAGTCACACTCATGGCGTAGAGAGCTATGAAATAAGTAGCAGCTATCCCATAAATCTCCTCTGTATCTGTAACCAAAGTTTTGCAACTTTATGTTGTCACTTCAAATCCTAAAACAATTGCAGTCAATGTTGTGCAATGTCCTGCGGCCAAATGGAAATGCTGTGAATTGTCCTACAGCTCAATTCTCCTAAAGCCGTGCTGTGCGATGCCTTGTTGTTTTTGTTGCACTTTTGTAAGCGCAAGAAAGAAAAAAGGGAAAGAAGGGGAGAGAAACCCAATAGTGTAATACTGGATAATTAAAAAGTTTTTGTTTGCAGGTAATATATACTCACAATATTTAGAGCAAATAACCCTGCTCCTAGTAAAACAGCTTTAGGTTGGTTTTTTTTGTACCTATCCAACGAGCTTGGATGTAAAAAGTTATAATATGTCCTCCATGGTAAAAAAAAATAAAAATAGGAAAATAACAATCCTGAAAGTAAAAGTAAGGTTAACATTTATAGTACAAAATTTAAAAGTGAATGCACCAATTTTAATACTGTTGCGTTTCTCCCAATGAGTTTATCAAAGTGTCATTAATTCAGAAGACTATAAATACACATTTACATAGAGTGCTTATAGTTAGTCCCTCCTCTGCAAATAATCTTTAAAGTCTTTTTTTTAAAAAAAAGTTAAAATAAATTTAAGGTAATCTGAAATACACACATAATTACTCTCTAAATGTAATTATATACTATAATACAGTGCAATAGCAAAACTGCTAACAAGCTGCTCTATTAAGCTAAAGTAGTTTTGGTGACTATAATTTCCCTTTAATAGGAATCCTCGTACATCCAATATGTCAGAAATAGCTTTGTTTTCTGCTGAATAGATCTATGGGGTTCTGGGCGTATGGTTACTACGGTAAATTATAGCTGCGAATATAAAGTTGGATTATAAAATAAATAGCATATTTTAATTGAACATTAATTTTTTTTAAACTCCCGAATGTGACATTTAATTTAATATTACATGGTTGATTTTAAACATATGTTATTGTATTGCTTCCTCATCACTACGGTAACAAAAGTTATGTGATTGCTATCTATATCAAATTTCATTTTGCTATTGCACTACATTGAGTAAGAAGCACTTGTAGCTGTCTTCAGGCGCCATATGTTCAGGTCTGTTTGAGAATATTTGTGCTCAGTCTTCAAATTTGCAATGCGTTTGAGAAGGTATGCGATACCAGCAGTGTGCTCTCATTAACATATGGACCTCACTGAAATGAACTATCACCTTATACGTGCCTCCCAGAATGTCAGACGAGAGGCTTCCGTAGTCTCATTCTCCAAGAAGAAACACGTCCGCTTTGCATGTTCCTCCATCACCAGCTCCTGTTCCAGCAGGAAGGAGTAATTCATCTCCTGTTCCAGCATTTCTCAATTAGCTTAAAGAGAAGCAAATAGATTTGTATGAATATTGGGTCTGTCCAGGTGGAGGACCCAACCATAACTGAAGTGATTTTGGGAAGAAGTAGTCAATGGTCCATAAGAGTTATGTACAATTGAGAAAAGGGAGTAAGCCCTGTCCCCTCGGTGCAACAATTGTCTGCAGTTTAAAGGTCCACGCACCAGAGAGATCAGCGAATGGTGTTCTCTCGAGGTGTCCACCAATGGTTCCAAGTGGAGGCTATGAATGAGCATTGTTTAAAGTTGGGTGCATATTGCACTGTGGATGTGTATAAATGGCCTGCTGTAGTGCTTTTTACAAACATGAAGTTCTTCTGTATTGCTAATGGGTATCTACTTGTACAAAGGGCAGAAAACAATGCATCAGGATCGCTTTATGATGAGCGAAGAAAATGGTTTGGTATCTGTGATTCAAAAGCATTTCGGCCACACCATAGGTTGAAACACAATGTTATTCTAACCATGTCTTTCATTAGCTGGATTATTTGTATTCCCCTGAGGTGCAGATCCTCCTTGCTTAGGGTCTTAGGATTTTGGACAGCTGATTTCTGTTTCTAGATACTTTTTTCTACATCTAATTCAGTTACTTAATGGCAGTGGTGGCTCTAGACCTTGAGAGGCCTTAGGCGAAACACAAACATGAGGCCCCCACTAATACCAAAGTTGACAAGTTGTGTGGGGGGCTGTAACAGGGTGTTAGTGGGTTGACAGAGTGGGGGTGACTGTGAGGGTGTGTGTGAGGACAGGGTGTGGGGAGTTGTGACATGGTGTATGTGGGGTGACAGGGTTAGTGGGAGTGGCTGTGACAGTGTGTGTGGGAAGACAGGGTGTGGGGGGCTGTGACAGGGTTCGGGTGGCTGTGATGGTGTGTGTGTGTGGGGGACTGTGACAGGGTGTATGTGGGGTGACAGAATGCAGTGGGGGCTGTGACAGGGTAGGGTAGCTGTGAGAGGGTGGGGGGCTGTGAGAGGGTAGGGGGGACTGTGAGTGGGTAGAGAGAGCTGTGAGTGGGTATGAGGGCTGCAAGAGGGTAGGAGAGCTGAGAGAGAGGGTAGTGGGAGCTGAGAGAGGGTAGTGGGGGCTGAGAGGGTAGTGGGGGTAGTGTGGGCTGAGAGATGGTGGGGGCTGAGACAGGGTGGGGGGGGCTGTGAGGTGGGGGGCTGAGGGGGGGCCGAGAGAGGGTGGTGGGGGCTGAGAGAGGGTGGTGGGGGCTGAGAGAAGGTGGATGTGGGGGTGACAGGTTGAAATACCTTTTTATCCTTTAACTATTCCCTGGTGGTCCAGTGTCTCTGTCCCTGGTGGTCCGGCAGGCAGGTTCTTTGGTCTGCAGCTCTGCTGGGCGTAGAGCTGCAGACCACATGGTAAGTCTCGCGATCTCCAAAAGTATGAAAGCGTTGCCGTGGAAACCCGGGGCAAGGCTCTAATACACTGGAGATCGCGAGACAGTTCAGTCTGCAGCTCTGCACCTGACAGAGCTGCCGACTGACTGTAGTGCTGGGCGCCTCTCGATCAGCACAGAATGACTGGAGGGGCCTCGCACCCGGCGGCATGAAGGGCAAGCCACAGAAGACCTGACATGTCACTCTGTCCTAAGATGATTTAGGTGGACACGAGGCCTTAGGGGGCCGTCTAAATCGCCTAATTAGAGAGCCGCCTCTGCTTAATGGTGTGAGGCAGCTCTGGACCTGCTCACCTAGTCCATCTTCAGGCCTCTCATATTTCTCTATTTTATATATCCTTTTTCTTTATCCTCCTCTTAATTCTTCTTTCTTCTCCTCATTATTTTTGCTCTCTCTTCCTACCCTTTTTAAAATTCCATTTCCATCCTTCTTCCTACAATGTTCCAGAGACTAAATTATGCCTTCTGTGGAGCCTTATTACCGTTAAATGGCTTTGCCAACTGGATACTACTCTCTTGAGTACGGCTCACAATTCACAATATTTTACTTTTTATTCACTTAATCTTTTGTTTTGAAATTATTTACTCTGTTTATATTTGCACTGTAGCCATGCAATGTTAATGCAGTACTGATTGTTCTATAATCACCTCAAGATATTTCATGATATCATTAACGATTATATTGCATGGACGTGCTCTGTCTGATGTCTTTCTGTTTATTACTACCCACTTAATAAACTCAGATTTAAAACAAACCTTTTTCTGGGGTGTTGACAAAAACTGGCACTTGGACAACTGCATTACCTAAACTGGAGCAGAGTACCTGGACTTTTGTCAGAGCTAATCTTTTTGTCAATCTTCTTGAAAACCGTTTGCAAAATAAAGTATTTTAAGTTAGAGACAATCATCGCGAACCTGCCAATACAGCTAAAATGTATGCTTTGCAACATTGTCCTATTTATTAATAATTAGTGAATAAATACCTTAATTATAAATAAAAGATACTGACTCACATTGGTTTTTATTTATTAAGGTACAAACTTGTAAGCCAGCACTAGGGTACAGTTTTGCTGCCGGAACAATTGATGGTGTTGGATTAATCAATTTTACACACGGTAAGTATTTTATATTACATGCTATTTTAATATTCTTCAGTGTACTAAATCTATGAATAATTCTGGGTGAAATATTGTAAACACAATCTATTTCTCATTGTTGCTAGTTCAACAAACATCACTTACAATTCATTGACTATGCATCGACAAGATCTTAATGATACTATGTACTCCTAATTAAATGTCTTGTTAATTATAATCATTTATATGCTAATCAGCAAAGACTCTGATTAAACACTGGTCTGTGAAATTGAATCAAGTATTAGATCTACTAGCACCAATGTATATTGAAAATAAGATGTAAAATAATAATAAGCAACAAATTAGAACGTTAACAACACTGTCCGTTGCCACAAAACTAAATACAATTGTAAAAATAAACAATAATGTATAAAATAAATATATAAAATAACAAAAGCAATGTACCACAACAAAAGCGGGGTTACTCACTAAACCATAAATGTAAAAATAAAAACATATGGTCATGCTCAGGTTATAATACTTCATATGATAACTATAAGATACTCAAAATAACTAGTACCTGAGTATCCACTGGAATAATGAATAATAATGATTCTATACAAAGTGGGATATAGATATATATATATATATATAATGAGAAAATACAATAATAGAAAAATGGGTCAGGTGAAAGTAGAAAATAACTGCCTAATGGCAAAAAAACTCCCTTCCTAATGTCTCTAAAAGTAGATACTGCAGTACACAGGTTTAGACTTTAATATATAATGCTTCATAGGTCAATATCTGTGACTGCAGGCTGGTATCAATACATCCAAAGAATATATAAGAGACATTAAGGACTTGCTTTTACCTAGTAATTCTCAAGCTGTGGCATTATATAAGATATAATACTAAATTGCTAGCATATTGGAACATTAGAGGCTGAGTAAGCAGAAAAGTATAAATAGATACTATATGTGGGATCTATTGAAACTAATTCAATCAGTAAATTGTATCAAAAAAATATCTATAATGTTAACTGCCATGTACTCAATTGCTAGCATATTGGGACATAAGTAACTGAATAAGGAGAAGAGTATAAATAGATACTATATTGGATATAAAATAATCCAAAAAATAAAATGTATTAAGAGTAGTATCTATCATAATAACGGCTACATATAAACTAAGTCCAAAATTATTGAATAGACAAAATATATCCACAAATGGATCTGTTATATAATATGCCACACATTAGGAGGTATAAAGCATAAGAGAGAGATAAAGTGAATAGTGAAAAAACAGTGTGCTAAATGTGCAGAGCCATGCTTAGAATGCTGGCTGCCTGCACATGGTGACAGAGTGAAAAAGATGAGAGGAAAGAAGACTCCCCCCCCACCCCCCAAAAAAAAAAAAAAAAGTTCATATGATATTGTATTATCAAAAGGTAAAAAAAATTCTAAAACTTGAAAATAGACAGTTAAAATTAACCCCATTAATACTCTAGCACAGGAGTTCCCAATTTATTTTTACTGTGGAACCCTTTGACATAGGGTACCAAAATTGTGGAACCCCACCCCCTGAAAAATATTTGCGAAAATTGTAGTACTTAGGAGCAGGTGTGCTTCTTTGTGTAGAGTTGGTCTTTGTATATAATTCTAACATTTTGATAAAGGGGTGTGTTTATATGTAATGTTTGCATTTCTGTGCAGTGGTGTGTTTTGTTGGATTTTAAATGCGGATGTACTTTTACATTTAAATGCTGATGTGTTTGAGTAAAGGGTGTGTTTGAGTGTTTGTATGTAATTTTGGAGTTGGAGTTCAGAGGTAACTTTGTATGTTATGTTTGTATTTGCATGTTGAGTTGGTGTTTGATTGCTGTGATGTCTGCACATAAATACTTACACAGATATACATACACATTAATAAACAAACACACTGACACATACACACTGATACATACACACATGCATACACACACTTGCACATACACACTCAGATACACACACGGACAGATATGCACACCAAGATATAGACATACTGACACATACACCGATACACATACACACACACTGACACAAAGGTACACCCACTGGCACATAAACACACACTCAGATACACACACTGACAAACAGATTCACACACTGGAACATACATACACCTTGACACACACAAACACACTGATACACACACCGGCAGATACAGCTACACTCACTGGCAGATACACACAGACACACACCCTGGCACATGCACAGATACACACACTGGCAGACACACTGACAAACAGATTCACACACTGGAGCATACAAACACCTTGACACACACACACACACAGATACACACACCGGCAGATACAGCTACACTCACTGGCAGATACACACAGACACACACACTGGAAGATAAACACACCCTGGCACTTGCACAGATACACACACTGACAGATACACACACCGACAGATACACTGACACACAGATACACACACACACTGACATACAAATACACACACACTGGCACACAGATACACACACTGGTACATACACTGGCACACAGATACACAAAAGCAAATACACACACGCACTGGCACACAGATACACAAACTGGTACATACACTGACACACAGATACACAATGGTAAATACACACACACACTCTGATACATCACACACAGGTCATAATGTTTATGTTTTGCAGCCACCCGCCTATCTTTTTCGTCAGGAGTGGCTTGCTTGGAGTGACAGGCTGTCACTTCCTCCCAGCATCTGATACCACAGGGGCCCCGGTCGCGGTCTTAAAGGGCTGCCGTGCTTGACTGGGCCCCTACTCAGTGCCCCGATGGGCAAATTGCTGTGGAACCCAGATTTTGTTCTCGCGAAAGCCTATGGTTCTGTGGAACACCAATTGGGAAATGCTTCTCTAGCGGAACTAAATACAGCTGCCTAAAGATAGCAATCAAACTATTGCACAAATACAATGTATTTGATATTTGAAAAAACTATTGTATTATCCACTTGTACATATATATTTAAAATGCAGAAAATAGACAGCTAAATCCCAGAAGCCAGGAAATTAGATGACCCAATCTGGTTGCACTTATGGATGTAGCACTGTGCTTCCAGTGATATTGATATAAATAACTTTGCCAATAAGTAAAGTAAACTTGTCAGTGACTGTAAATTCTGGTATCCAGCCAGGTAGTGGAGTGCTGCACATTAGTATGTTGATACTCTGGAACTCTGTGGGGCAGGTCCGCTAGCTCCAATATAAATCCAGAAGTATAGAGCCACAGGCTACACAGTGCAGGGTGAAGAATAAAGTATATTTAATTATGGTCCAGGAGACAAAACAAAGATACAATGTTTCATCCCGTGAGGCCTTAATCATGTATGCTTCACAGACAAAATGTCATATCCTTGTTTTGTCTCCTCGACCATAATTAAATATACTTTATTCTTCACTCGGCACTGTGTAACCGGTGGCCCTATACTTCTGTAAATGTTGGTATAATAATAACTGGAGACACTTACACCAGCATTTACAGTCACTGGCAAGTTTACTTTAGTTATTGGCAAAGTTACTTATATTACTATCACTGGAAGCACAGCGCTACATCCATATGTGTAACTGGTTTGGGTCAAATCATAACTTGGCTTCTGGGATTTAGCTGGTTATTTGGAATTAGTAATGTCGCAAACTGTTCGCGAACTTCCCGAGAACGGCTCGCCGCGGTTTGCCACGAACCGTTCGCAGCGAGCTCCGTTCAGCTGACACATCCCGGCCAATCTCCAGCAGACCCTCCCTCCCAGACCCTCCCAACTCCTGGACAGCATCCATGTTGAAGGCAGCTTCAACATGGATGCTGTCCAGGAGGTGAGAGGGTCTGGGAGGGAGGGTCTGCTGGAGATTGGCCGGGATGTGTCAGCTGACCGGAGCTCGCCATGAGCCATTCGCGGGAAGTTCGCGAACGGTTCGCGACATCACTATTTGGAATACTGCCATTTTCACAATTTTACATAATTACATGTGGATTATATATTTTTTTGTTTCCCTGGAGGATAATATAATAGATTTGGTTGGTTATTTGATCATATATCAAGGACTGTGAGTCTTCCTTGTATCTATTTGATTTATTGTTGGTTACATTTATGCAAGAGTAATACATTGTATTTGTGCAATAGTTTGATTGCTATTCTCAGGCAACTGTTAATTAGTTCCACTAGAGTAAACATGAGGTTAATTTTAACAGTTTATTTTGACGTTTTAGAATGTTTTTTAACGTCTGACAATAAAATACCATATGAAGTATTACAACCTTAGCATGACCATATATTTTTATGTTTACCTTTATGGTTTAGAGAGTCGCCACACTTTTGTTGTGGTACGCTGCTTTTGTTATTTTATATATTTTTTTTATACATTATTACTTATTTTTTACACTTGTATTTACTTTTGTGACAATTGGCAGTGTTTTTAGAGGTTTTGAGTTGTTCTAATTTTTTTTTTTGCCTACTATTATTTTATATTTTATTTTCAATATACTTTGCGGCTGGTATATCTAATACTTAATTGAATGTCACAGACCAGTGTTTAATCAGAGTATTTGCTTTGATTAGCATATAAATAATTATATGATTATATTATCTGTTTGCATCTGTGACATTTAATACAGTAGATAACACAATAGCATAATTTATATACATTGTAAATGTTCAGACCTTCAGAACTTTGTCATCAAGATGAGGTCAAGGCTTGATGAATGGAGCAATGCACATGCACAATAAATGACAATAATAAAATAAGTAATGGTATCGCTGAGATTTATTAAACCAATACAGGAACACAGATTAATGGTTTCACATAACACCACAAGGTAGCAGACCAATATCACAATTTAATAAACTATATATATATATTGGCACGATATTTAGCATTTTTCATTTAATACATCTGGCGGTTATGTCTGGAATTGCCTACCTTGGCACAGATTAGACAAGAAGAAAACTAGCTAGAATGGATGAACATGTATAAATGTTGATTGTGTCATATTATTTTAATTGCTATGCGTATCTACTTACCTGGAGTTCCCTTGCTGCATCTCTCTCCGGTGGCTGACGTGGTCCCTCTTCCATGCACGCTAGAGGCTCTGGCGTGCTCACCAGCAAGGAAGAGGGGGCGGTGTCTTTACTGTACACAGAAGCTGTGCCATGACTCTCTACATCTCACCGGGGACCGCTGTTAGTCACAGTCCCAAGCCAGCCACGCACATGATGGGGATGGAACCCACACCCCAAAATGAGATAATAGGCGCACGGACGACCAAAGAACGGTCTCATAAAGGAGCAGAAGTCTTATTGCACCATATGGACAATTATCTCGTAACCAATCATGTGGAAGAGGTGTTAACCATTCCCCTATAAAACCATAGTTAGCCCATATCTTAGTGCTCCGTTATACCATGCTCCTCCATGCATGCTCTTCTGTGAATCCTGTTGCTTCCTGACCTTCCTGTCTGTTACTCTGACCTTGACTTACCTTGACTACGAGTTCGTAATATAACCAATTGGTAACACACTTTTGGCTTGCTACTGCTCCCTGTGAACCTCCTATCAAAACCACAACAAATTCCTTAAGGACCTAGGCTGTACCTAGTATTTATTTTAATTTTTTTTGCATTTGTTTGGTCAGAATTTAGTAAAATGACCCAGTTTGGAACCTACCTAATCCAATTACTTAACAACTGATAATAAGCATTTTTTTTCTGGATAAACATCCCTGCTCTGGATAAAGATCATTTGTCAGACTGCAGATCTGAAGGAAAGCTGAGAGAGTAAAGAATATTCAAGATTAATATAGAAAAGGCTACAAAATAGTGTTTAGATATCCCAGTTAGCACCGTTGGATATATTATCCTGAAGTGGAGAAAATGGTCAGTGCCCGACTGCTATCTGATCAGTTGCACCGAGACAGAGCTCTGAGCAAAAAAAATCAGTTTTTAGCCCCTATAGCTGAATATTTATGCTGCAAGGTTACCTTCTGCAATGGCAAATATACTGGAAAGGAAGCTACAGTCCAATTTGGCAGATTCTGTCGGGAGGCTCTGAAGACCTACCTGTGCCTGACACTCTCCACACATCTTCACATTGAAGTCAGAAAATGCAGCACAGATCCTCATTTACCTCCTACCGATGAGGGTTATCCTGGCATATCTCTAGCACCAAGTACAGAGTCTCTCTCTTCTGATCAAAAAAACTGGATAGAAAAGAGGGGGGAGGTGCAGCACTTAGATAGTCCTCGGTATATGTAATAGAGAAAGAAAATAAAGGAACACAATAGTGTAGTATGTAAGACTAGGAATGATGTAAATTAAATTAAAAAAAGCACACTCACACTTTTTTTAGGAGCTTCAATACAGCTCCAATTTATGTGCCTGGGCGGAAAAATCCCCACCTAAGGATCAAGTGCGAATAGAATTCTTTGTATGCTCGTGGCAGTGGGAGGTATCCTCATAAAAAAGAGATAAAAATCGTATATGTGTAAAGCATGTAGAACTATGGAGCAAGGGTAAGTGTAGATATAAAATGTGCACTCACCCATAGATATGGCTCCAAGGGAAGCGTGTGAAGTGGTATGATTCCCACTCAAAAATACAGGTGTAGTCTTTAGTCCTAGGTGTGATACTATTCTGCATGCTGGATCAATTGTAATGCTGACAAAACCATACTTTGCTCACAAACATGGGAGTAGGTCTTTTTGACCTTTTTTTGTGTGTTCTCACTTTATATCAAGGTGAACACTATTGTGGTTTTATTTGTTTCTCCATACATAGGAAAATACAGACAAGTTATCTACAATACAATAGTAACAGAAAAGACATAGGGCAATATTGCAAACATACAATGGATTGTGAATTAGAATAAAATTCACTCACAAACCCAAATTGATTGTAGGCATGTCATAAATGGAGTCTTAAAACTACCTCAGGACATGTAGGAAATTAATTCATGTAAGGAAAGAAAAAGATAATAGTGCAGAGTTCCTCAGTCAAAAAACACTTACCTTACAGGATAATTATGGCGATTGGAACTCATCGCCATATTTCATCCCGAAGTCTGCATGGCCAGACACAACTTGGAAGTGAGGCTTCACTCGCAAAAGCGCTCGAGTGATGAACCCGGAAGCACTCTACTTAAGTGACAAAAAAATAAGCAAATATTGCAAAAAAAAATTAGAATGCATGTAAATTATTACTTATCACAAAATACAAGAATAAATGTAGTTATGTACATAAGTTATGTATCCAGTACCCTTCTCTTTTTCTCAGATGAGTCATGAGGTCACCACTTCTCTCTCATCTAGGGTCGCCTGTTCAATAACTATATATTTAAAGTTATTAATATTAAAATAAGGGCATTTATTGCAATGTACTGGTACTGAATATGACAGCATATGGTTTTTAATATTGTTCTTATGCTCCTGGAACATCATTTTCGCTTTCCTCCCGGTCCCTCCCTACATATTGTGCACCACATCCTCATGTGATTAGGTACACAACATGTGTGGATGAACAGGATACCAAGCTTTTAATTTTTAACTTTTCAGAGGTTTGGGTACTAATGAACTCTTTCGTAACCTTAAACTGATGGTTACAACTTTTACCACACCAAGAAACCTGTCTTTTGTTTTATTTTATCTTTTCCAGAGCGAAAAGTGCTTGGTGCTAAGTGCTAAGATTTGTTTAAGATTAGTGCCTTTTCTAAAAATAATTTTTGGGGCATGGGGAATTTGTTGGTGTAGAAATTAGTTTTCTACAAATAACGCCTAGTGTTTCTTAATAATCCTTTCTATATCAAAAGCTCTGGAGTTATATTGAATATTAAAAGAAAAAGAAAAAAAATCGGATTTCTAGTTAAAACATTGCTTTTTGTCCATCAGAAGATTATTCCTATCTATTTTTCATACCCTTTCGATTTCGGCGTCCCAAAAAATCTCCAGAGTAACCTTTTTCTAAAAACCGATTCCTTAAAACTTCTGCTTGTGCATAAAAAGATTCCAGGTCACTACTATTCCTGTATTCGAATACATTGGCTCTTGGGAACTCATTTAAACCAGTTCAGAATCATACCACTTCACACGCTTCCCTTGGAGCCATATCTACAGCTCTATCACATGTGAGTGCACATTTTATATCTACACCTACCCATGCTCCATAGTTTTACATACTTCACCATATACAATTTTTATCTCTTTTTTTTATGAGGATACCTCCCACTGCTATGAGCATATGAAGAATTCTACTCGCACTTGATCCTTAGGAGGGGATTATTCTACCCAGGCACATAAATTGGAGCTGTATTGAAGCTCCTAAAAAGTGTAAGTGCGCATTTTTAAAATTAATTTACATCATTTTTATATATTACACTATTGTGTTCCTTTATTTTTCTTTCTCTATTATATATACTATACCGAGTACTATCTAGGCGCTGCACTTCCCCCATGTTTTCTATCCAGCTTCAAGTGTTTTGGCTAAAATGAAGCAGAGGACTGCTTCTGACAGAATCGAAAGGGCTGGCTCAATACCTACCTCTGAGAACACTGCAGGGTGGTCCTCAAGCACTGGATGAACTTGCTCATACAAAGGCTATAGCTTCTATACCCACTTGCCCTGGAAGACACACAATCCACTTTTTTCTATTGGACCTCTCGGAGGTTTAATACCCACTTCCATATACTCTGGCTGAGAGCCTTCAGGGGAAGACCAACGAGACATGACTCACATGCTTTGAGGGAATGCTACTACCAACATCAAGTGAGATGCCTTTCTGAGATGCTGATCAGGGTGCCTGGAACAACAGAATCGATGGGCATCGCATTTGGGCTTTCGTTGAGGCCCGAGGCTGGTGTAGTGGATTTCTCTGGATAAAGGAGATAGTGTCTTCTCTTTGGAACTTTTATTCTTAGCTTTGGAGTAGGATGTAGCCCTGTGGTTACGTTGTCTTTATTTTACTTATCATAAAAATATTTTCAACAACTTTCTCAAGTGCATTTTTGTTTCTTTCTCTCAATTGGTACATTTAATGCTATCGGATTCTTAAGTGTAGATTTTTATGCACTATTAATGTTGTCTACCTCATTTTAGTTTATTTTTATTCCTTGCCTCATATCATCATCTAACGTTGTGTAAAATGAGCAACAACTCACTTTACATTATATCTCTGCGTAGGTTACCTAATGTGTTACCAATTCCTCTTGAAATTTTCTCTTTGCTGTATCCCTGCAAGACAAAATAAAAATTTACAAATAAAAACAAAAAAAAATGGAGACTTGTGTAGGAAGCCAACAAAAGGCTTCTGATCACTTTAAAGGAGCTACAGAGGTCGGAGGCTAAAACTAAAAGAAAATTGCATCAACAATTTCAAGAGCTCTGCATCAAACTGGCCTGCATAGGAGGGTGCCAAGAAAAGAAGATGTTACTCAAAACCAGCTATATCAAAGCACATCTAGAGTTTCTAAAAAGTATGAGCCTGGCTTTGCTAACATATGGGAAAACGCTTTGTTGTAAGTTGGGAACAAGCTAGAGTTTTTTTTAGCCACAATTCAAACTGCTATGCATGGCAGATGATTCAAAATAATCAATTTATAAGGGTATAAATACTTTTGGTCAATGCACTGTGCATGTACACATTTATTTCTAAGTCTTAGAGATATAGACAGTTGGTGAAAACTATTTTTTTTTTGTGGTCCAAGGTGCTCTTTATTTTTTTGTTTTTTTTGTTTAATTCTTCATTTTTGTGGTGCAGAGACATACATACAGGTTTGTACTGGCATAACAGAGAAGGCATACATGTCCACGTAGATAAATCGCTTATGTCTGAGATTACTGCACGCAATTTTTTTTTTTTTAAATAAAAGTATAACAAGTAATATAATGAACCTGTCACAGAGTGAAAACTAAATTAATAAAGAAGGAACTTGCTTGACAAGAGGATTAGTAGGTGAGTAGTAGGTAGTAGTTGCTAAACTAGTGAGATAAAAACGGTATGTCAGTAGTAGAGTGATAAAGGCAAAAGATAGGCAGGCATTATCAACTGACACAATGCAGATCAAGATGTACCACTGGGCATCAAAATAGACTGTGAAAGAGTCATATAGCATGTTATATTATGGGGGTAACTAGCTTAACCTATGCCTGATGCATAATGCCTGATCCAGAGAAAGAGTTCCCAGGTGTACGGTGCCCCTGCAGCCCATAGCTGAGTTACAGACCACTATATCCATCTCACAAGTCTCTATTCAAGTTGCAGGTTGGGCTTGATCTCGTGGCCTGGTGCCAGGCTTATGTATAGCATGGTGAGTAGGAGCCTTCTGAGGGTGTGAGCGGTTGGTCAGGGATTGTCCCATGATGGATTGTGGCCCAGGTAGGTGATGGCACTCAGCACCAGTGGACCACCACTTCCACACGGGTCTCAGCTTGGCTTTGCCTTGGCGTGTATCTCGTGGGAGCAAAGCTGCAGCGGTAGGCCTCTCCACTCATTGGTGGGTCCATTGCAGGTTACTCATATCCAGAAATCCAGCTCATCAAATCTGGCCTGGGTTCGCTTGATGTAATGGATGTCCCAGCACGGCATTTTGAATTCACAACAAATTTTCAGGTACACTAGCTCAAGTTGTCCACTGCAGAGTAGTGAGTATACCCAGCGGGGGCCAGTATAATCCTCAATGGTCCAAAGGGAGGGAAGGTAATGGGGCTTTGGTAGAATCCTTGTAGACTGCGCAACTCCGAGTGGGAGATTGGCTGCCTCTCCCAGCTGTCAGGTCGGCAATCCTGGTAGGCTGCAGAGCCAAATGACAGATTAGGTGTGCAGGAATGATAATTTCTGGGCTGTCAGTGTCTCCCTTTAGTCAGGATGCTTGTTGTGCATAATTCTGAGCGTTTTGCTATCTAAAAAATGCAATTTTAGCTAGTTAAAGGCTTGCTCAGGCAAGTGCTTCTGGAAAACACATCTTGCCAGCATGAGAGTCAGGTCCCGTCCCCCTAGTACAATATAATATAGGCAGATTTCCAGAGATTATATTGATGTGTTCTTAAAAACTCATTGCTTTGACAGTGAAATGAAAGAAAGCCATGTTTTGGAAGCATTTTGTATATCATATTTATTAAATAATGTAATTTTCAGATGTATATCAACATACATAGCTTCTACTTTTTAGTTTTTTCCTATTTCATATAAATGTAAAAATAATTTATTTCCAGGAATGGTAGAAGGTGATCCGTTTTGGGATGGGATTCGTGATGCAATCCTTGGAGTGCCATCAAATGAAACTGTAGAATGTCACAAACCTAAACCCATCTTGATAAATACTGGAGAGGTATAACCAGTCTTAATGGTAGTTCAGTGAATTCTATTTCATGTACAAAATGCAGCATTTGCTGCTCATGGGATTGTAAAAAAAGGTATGTTACATGTCATAGATGATGAAGGAATCAAATTATCTATTACCCAATTACCCAAAATTAAGAAACGCATATTTTAAACATCTATAGCACTGAAGTCCAGTTTGGCTGATCAGGATCCCCCACCGGTCCTGTGCCCCCTCACCCATCCGGTCGCTGGTTCCCTGGACCACCATCCTTCTGTTGGTGGCAGCAATGCCCTCTGCCTACGGTACCCTTCAGGGGATGTCCGGGCAAGGCCTCACCCTTCAGTGTCTATCTGTAGTCCGGAGCCATGAGGTCTTGGCATGGTCCAGAGTGATGCTAGGAAGCATGTGGTTGCACAAGATCTCCCAGACCAGCACACACAATAGATCAAATTAATGGAGAAGAGCCTCCTCTGCTTCAAGTATGTCAGCAGGTTGCAGAGGTGTACAATACAGCCCATGCCCACAGGAACCTGGCATTAGCTAACTCAACAGTCAACTGAGTGTTCTGTCAGCGAGTAGCCAAGTTTTGTGCCTAAATTGCGCTGAGTAAGTACCGTAAGTATTTGTCTTACACCACACTGCAGCCACATGCCACATAAAACTAGCTTTGTTGGCTGACATCACTCACAAGTGTTTTTATTTTTTAATTCAGGGACTTTGCTTGAGCCGGAAGCAAAAATCAACTATCTATGTAGCAATATAGAGGTGGGGATATGTCACTGCCTTCCTATGTTCTGTTCCCTCCTCTCTATCAATGAAGTGCATTTTACTAAAGCATAGCTGAACACAAGCACATGCTGTACAGCCATACTACCTGATAGATAGTTGTGCTGCAAAGTTCTGCTCTCCAACATTAACTCCTGACAAATCTCCAAAGTGGTTGATTAGAACAGTATTTCTCGAAGTTTTACAGAGAAGTACCCCTGCAGGTCTAAAAAAAAAAATTCCCAAATACCCTTGCCTTGAGAAAGTAATTTCCATTGATTGAAACCAAATAAAACACTAATATTTAAGTTAATTCCATACTGGGAAACAAGCCTAATTAAAGGTAATAAAGAATATTTTAAAAAAGAAATGACATAGTGTAAATATCGTGTATGTAAGGAGAAGTGTATGAACTTTTCATCTTAAGTATAAAAGTCACAATATGAAAAAAAATACACACATAGTTGCACACAGGGGAAACTGGTACACACGTTTACACAAAGAGGGCACTGGCACACACATACATTTTCATACAGAGGGTACTCACACATTTTACACACAGAGGACACTGGCACACACATACATTTACAAATAGTGGACACTGTCACACACACATTTACACACAAATGACACTGACACACACACAGTTACACACAGAGGACACTGACACACATATTTACAAATAAAGGAAACTGACACACACAAATTTAGACAGAGAAAACTGACACGCACATACATTTACACACCCTCCACGACAGACACACTATTAGTAATTTGACCAACACTGACTGACACACTTACTAATATAGACACACACATTCACAGACAGATACACACAGTTACACACAGAGGACACTGATACACGCATTTACATGCAGCACAGAGGACACTGACACAAGAACATCTACACACAGGATAATGACACACACTCTCACTAATTTGACACACAATGACAGAAACACACACTCACTGAAAGACACATACATATTCATTCACAACACTCACAAATACTTTTTTTTTAATTTAAGTCCACCAAGGCCCCCCTACCTTTGGGAGAGCTGGAGTGGATACTTTCCCTGGGGTCCAGTGTGGGGCTTGTGTAATCTTTATGCTCTTCTGGCACTGCTCACTTGAGCACTGTTTAGTAATGTTGGAGTGACATAATAACCTGCCTCTCCTGGCATCACTGCAGGCGCATGAGGGAGCATGTTGGAAGATCATGAAGATTACAGCTACCGTGCCTCCTCTGCCTCCATTCTCCCCCCCAGGCACTGTAGGCAGAGTAGGCACCTGCTGTCCAGGTAAGCAGGTGCCTACTCTAGCATGGCGCACAGCTCACCACCTTCTGTGGGTGCTAGGGTGGCCAGCCAGCCACGTTTCCATCCCCCCAGCCCCTCAATGTGTCTCATTCTCAGTTTTCTGATTAAAAATATACCAGTGTGTGTGTGTGGGTGGCAGATAAACATGCAGATAAACAGACAAACACACTGACATACATGCAGATACACACAATATAACACATACAGATACGTACATGGACACAAATGCTGATACATAGACACACACTAACAAATACAGATACAAATGCACAGATACACATGCAAATACACAGACACACACACACTAACACACATGCAGATACAAACACAGATTCACACACACTGACACACATGAAGTTAAACAAACACACAGAATGACACTCCTACTGACACACATATAGATACGCAGACACACACTGACACACATGCAGATACACAGACACACTTAATGACAAACATTTAGAAACACAGAATGATATTCATACAGATACACATATACACACAGACACAGATACACACATACACATACAGACACACAGATACACACATGCAAAATGAACATGTATTTCATTTTTTTAGTCACCCTCCTGCCGTCACATTGTGGGCAGGCTCCTGGTTACAGGGGTCGATAGTGCGGCTGGGCCCCCTGCAGTTTTGGGCCAGGTCGCAGTTGCGACCCCTGTGACAGCGGTAGGTATGCCACTGTACATAGATACTTATTTTAGAGACTATCATTGTACTTCTTGCAAAATATAAAAGCTGGTACTATAAGCCAAATACTTAATTCATCTCTTTCTTATAGATGTCCCGTCCACTACCATGGCATCCAACAATAATCGATGTTCAAATGTTCACCATTGGACAATTAGCTGTGCTCGCTGTGCCTGGAGAGTTTACGTATGTATTGACTGATAATCAATATTCCACTTCTGTGTATGTAGTAATAACAAGAAAATTTTATTTGCAACATGCTTAGGTATGCTTAGTAGCTAACAACATAATGAGTCAATAAATGTGCTTAATGCATATGAACATGTAAGTCTGAACACCTTATGAGTCTCAGTGGGTTCATATCTAAGTGTTTTACTGAGGATTGTTATAAACATTGTCTTTCCAACAGAACCATGTCTGGAAGAAGACTGAGAGAAGCTATCAAGAATGTAAGTTTGATTCTAATACAAAATGTTAACACTATTTCGAGATTTTTAGGAGCTGGTTTTATTCTTATTTTGCATTTCATTTTTTTGCACAAGTGAGAAATTGAATTGTTTAGAACAGTGGTTTCCAACCAAGTCCTAAGGGTGGATACCTTTAGGACTTGGTTGGAAACCACTGTTCTAAACAACAATCCACCTTCTTTTGTTCTTTCCTTTGCTAGGCAATATCTTCAGACTGACGATATCTACAAACAACGATCTGTATTCCCATGAGTCTGATGTATTTAAGAATATATTTAGGGATTTGTTCACTGTAAACAATGATATTGATGAATTGAAAATTCCCAACACTATTTCCTTCTCAATGGCATCTACACACACATAAATATACACACTGCAGACAGATGTGTAACATGAATTGTCCGGGAGCAGGGATGGAGACACGGCTGCTAGAACCTGTGTAGACTGTATTGACTGGGCTTTTATCCTGCATATCATGGGTATTATTTTGAGGAAGGCTGGTAAAGACGAGGATACATTTTTGAGAGAGGAGGGGAGCAAATGTCCCTATTAAAACTGTGGGCATCTCCAATATATTTTAGGAGATTTGAAAACAAATGTTATATAAGATTAAGATCCATACAAATGGGTATAATGTGGCAGTAGGCCTAGTCAGCAAAGATAAGTATGTTGTTGATTTAGTGCTTTAATTTCCTGTTACATTTCTTGTTAGGAATTGGACCCAGATAACACCCGAAACACAGATGTGGTAATCTCAGGACTGAGCAATGTTTATACACATTACATTACTACCTATGAAGAATATCAGGTAAGTCAATGTAAAAGTCACATATACACCTAACCTTGACAAGCACAACTTTCCAATAAAGAGAAAAGGTGAGATAGTGTAGAGCAGGGATTCCCAATTAATTTTTCCTGCTGAACCCTTTCTCATAGTGTATCAACCCCTGTAAAAAAAAAAATAATAATAATAATTTGCGCAGTTGCATAAACCTTTATTTTTTTTATATGTGCCGGTGTGTGTCAAGGTGTGTGTATCTGTGTGTCAATGTGTATCTGTGAGTGTGTGTATGTATCTGACACACAGATACACACACACACACTGGCACATAATAGCACACAGATACACACACTGTGTATATATGTGTGTGTGTGTCAAAGTGTGTGTATCTGTCAAAGTGTGTGTATCTGTGTTTGTATGTGTCAGTGTGTATCTGTGTGTGTGTGTATTTGACATACAGATGCACACATAGTGGCACACAGATACACACACCTTGACACACAGTGTGTATCTGTGTGTGTGTGTGTGTGTGTGTATGTATCTGTGTGTCAAAGTGTGTGTATCTTTGTTTGTATGTGCCGATGTGTGTCAAGGTGTTTGTATGTGCATGAATGTGTATCTGTGTGTCAGTGTGTGTCTGTGTGTGCGTATGCATCTGAAACACTGATACACACACTAGCACATAGTGGCACACAGATACACACTGACACACCGATACACACACACTGGCACACGCAGTGACACCCGCATACACACACACAATATAAAATACATCATAGCCACCCTCCTGTTAACTTACCTTGTGTGTCCAGGAGGGTGGTTTGCTTGTAGTCCTGGTTGCTGCTGCGTGCTCACTCCAGCCTCTCCTCTGCCATCCATGCTGCTCACTCTCTGAGTGGCCGTCTCCTGCCTCCTTCCTCATCCCTCCCTACCACGTGGCAGCAACTCTGTGAAGCTGGGAGGAAGTGCTTTCACTTCCTCACAGCCGGCCATTACTACAGGGTCCCTTTAAGAGCACGACCGGGCCCCTGATTTGCAATAAAATCACGGTGGCCATTTTGTTTGGGGAAATCATGTCGGAACCCTAGGGTTCCGCAGAACACCAATTGGGAAATGCTGGTGTAGAGTATTACCGGTCCTTAGAATGTCCAGGCTTATTGCAGTGCCATGAATAGTAGTTCTCTATAAACAAGCAGAGAGTGACCTGGGACAGGCCGAGGTCCATGGAGTACAGAAGGTTGATAATAAGTAAACAAGCTGAGGTGCCAATGGCAGAATTAAAGCAGATATAGCCATGAGGTAGATGCCATGTTGCAGAGAGGGTTGTTGAAGGGTGGGTGCTTTGAGTATTGAAATCAAACCTGGATAATCCCTAATATGAACAGTCTCTCTTTATATATGATATATACACCATATTTGATACTTTGTGTTATCTCTTATTGCATTCTACTAACAATAACAGTAATGTTACACAAGATGAGAGCTAATAAGAAAGACAATACTGAAGAATACGGATTGCTTAGTAGTTAAGGAACTTTTAGTACAAAAATATTGTTTACGTAAAACAGTACATTAGAGAGAGCAGAAAATATTCCTTATCACATAGAGAGACACTGCCTCCCTTTTCCATGCACAAACAGTCATCACAGTGTGTAACAGCTGTCATCACATGGTTAAATCATTAATATAGCTCATAGTATAAACCTCTTTGACAAACATATGATAAGAAATCAATGCAACAACAAATGTTTTATTTATTACAGGCTCAAAGATACGAAGCTGCATCGACAATTTTTGGTCCGCACACACTGTCTGCATATATTCAGAAGTTCAAAGGCCTGGCCAAAGCAATTGCTGAGGTAACTGATAATGGAGACGGAGTTGGTTTATTTCCAAAATAAAAATGTTGAAGTGTGTCACTGTCAGGGTACATTGGATAGTTTGAAAAGAGCCATAATAGTGACATCGCTGACTGAGGTCTAGTGGCTAAGGGAGGGGGGGTAGGTAAAGGGGCACTGCCGAAATCTTCATGTTTCTCCTCTTCTGCTCCTGGTTCTTCAGCTCCAGAAGTCGACGACGTCACTGCTGTACTCTTGCACATGCACGAGATTACAGCAGGATCATGGGATCCTCCACAGAAAAAGCTAATCTTCCGGCAGTTGTCACTGGTGCAATAGAGCTTTCTGCTTTTTCAAGTGATTGACCTCTTCCTCACTCTTCCTTAGTTCCACTTCCCTACTTTGGTACTTGTGTTAACACCTTCCACTGCACTAAATCTGCTTATTGGTATCTAAGACACTGTGGAACTCAAAACCTGTACTGAAGAGCAAAAGTATTTAAAATCTAATTTAATAATGGCGCCTTCAGAGGGTCCTTTAGACAGCTTTCTTTGTGCAGATACGTAGTGTGTAGAATATCTCTCTTTGTCAATTTAAATTGCACCCAAAGATATATTTACATTATCTCAGTATTGTAATTAAGGTGCTTATTGTGCTGAGTTTTGCACAATGGTAATGCCACCCAGACTACCCTGTTTTGAAAAATATTGCAGTCCTGCATCCACACACAGACAACAGCACAGACATATACAACCCCACAGTGATAGATACAAAACAATGAATATACACAACATGGCTACAGGCATTTCATGTGTGTGTTCATACAGCCACTGTTGCTGGCCAGATATAGATACATAAGACTTTTCAGTGGGAGTATTTTCTCTGGTGATGCCCCTGGAACTGCCAATGATTTCTCAAACAGCCACATTGTTATATATTGCATCATGCATGCCTTGTACTTCTTTATATTTTTTATATTAGTCATTGCAACATAATACAGGTGTATGGACATTCCGTTTATCAGATTACAGGGGAATAATTGGTATCTAAGACAAATTGTTTTCTGGGTTACCATACCCTTTGATTTTGAAACTATGTTAAAAACATGTCAAGACGTTGTTACATGCTACACCATGCCGTGTGGACCTCTATAATCTCACCCGTTTACCATGTTTTATTCAGATGTCCGTCACAATCTAAAAGGAATAAAATATAATCTAAAGGAGCATCACAGATTCTCTTCTGTAAAACTTATAATACTATTAATTAGGACAGGACATTTTCCTGATGTACAGTGTAAGGGAATTCAGGCAGATTAGGACGTCGCTATCAGTGAACGAAATGGTTGATGCCCAGCAATTATAACATTTCAACTCCCATGATGCTTTGCCAGCTGGCTAGCCCTTTATGCATTTTCTCTAATCCATTGCTTAATTTTAATAATTCATGTCTGATGTCGTTTCAGGACACTGTGGGTGAGTTACCTGTAGGACCATCTCCGCCCTTTTTTAATGAATCTCAGTTATTTAACCTTTTGCCTGCAGTCCTGCAGGATAAAGCTCCTGGAAACACTTCTTTTGGAGATGTCCTGGTGGAGGTTAATCCAACTTACCGACCGGTGAGCACTGCGATGGTATAGGGCAAGTTATATTTTGCAGAGTTTTTATATGTACTATTATAGAGAAAGTGCATTATAGATAGTCAGTGATTACAAATCAGATATACCAGTGATATGTACAATTATTGAATATGTCTACCGTAGATTTTTGTTATTGCAGAAGATGTGCACAAATGATTTCTGCAATTGTGGAGGATAAACACTATAGATGTGTTATTGGGGGTGCATGCTAGAGATGTACTGTTAGTTTTTAGATACAGTGGAACCTCGGAACTCCAACGGTCAAAAATTTTGAAGTCTGAAAAAAATTTTGAGTAAAAAACGTACCCAAACATACAACGGTATTACTAAAAAACTGTTTACATGGGGTAGGGAGCTCACAAATTAATTCCCCCATAAACGTTACAATGAGTTACAGCGTTCATGGCCCTTAGAGTGCTCCTTTAAAATCAAACTGTACTGATGCATCGAGATGGAATCTGCTAGATTTTTGCTTTGTCCTAATTATAATGAAACTTCGCAAAAATGTGAATCAGTAAGTTGCATAAACTGGGTTTAAAAAAGCGGGTTCCACAATTCATTATAGCCCAGTGTAACAAGCTGGAGCTGCGTCTTGTAGGAAAGGACTGCTAAATACTATTATTGAGGATGCATATTAGAGCTATGTAGTCTCATTGTGTACATGGGATAAAAGTATATGCTTTTTAGATCATACCTTTTTTATGTGGGTTAAGCAGTACATTCATGTAATATGAGTCAGATATACAAATGAACCATGTTTTTGATTATAGTAAAAGTTGTAAATCACTCGGTTTAAATAACAATGTATATACTAAAGTTAAACACAGATATAAGATATCAACTATTAACTGAAAAAAATGCAGCTAAGATTTTGAACTTAAATAACTAAATGTAGTAGTTAATTTTAGAGTTTGAGGCTTCCTTCCTATATATTCCTATGTATAAAAAAACAAATTCTAAGACTTTATGGAATTTAAATAGGACTTTGCTACAGTCATCATAAATCACCAGGTAGTGTTTTATCCTGGGGTTATAAACTGAAAAAGCAACTTATGGAACCTAGATCATAAGCTGGACCCACACAGAGAGGGTTAATTATTCCACATGGCCCTAGAAGGGTTTCTGATTTGGGGCCCCCCTTCATTCTTCACATAAGGATTATAATTGAGACCAAGCAAATATTGGTTCTGAGTCCCTCGTCTAACCCCTGGGTCCCAGGTGGCTGCCTGAGGTCACCTTATGATTAATCTTGGTCTGGTTCCACAACTTGTGGAAACCTAAATTAATATGTTGAATCAGTAAGTTGCATAAACTGAGTTTAAAAAAGAGGGCTCCACAATTCATTATAGCCCAGTGAGGGTAAAACTCCTTGTAGATTGCCCCTTGGCCCACAGAAAGTAGCATGTCTGTTTTCTGAAGTTGGCTGTGGACTTCCATACTTGTGCCACATTTATTGAAGATAATTTGCCTCCCATTCTCTAATGTTCCATTGTGAAAATAGTCACTTTCCAGTCATGGATGGCATTTTATTTGGGGAAATGTCTTAGATTTGCCTCAACATGACTTTTGCAAGGAGCCTCTCCAGTGATCTACTGACTGGTGCTCCTGCCCTCTTAAAGTTTCAAGTGCAGCTGCCATTTATGGCAGATGTGTATGGAAGATATTTGCTATTATGGAGGATGTGTAGGAGAGCTTTATTTCTTTGAGACAAGACTCTCAGCATGATGCAGAGCTCATATAATGACACCTGTTTCTAAAAAATAGTTTTTAATTGGGGGAATAACTACTCCCTCTGGCATCTCCTGTGCTTCTATAATAGGTCTATTTTTCTATATTTCTGCAAAAGTGCTCCCAGGATTTTGTACAATTTAGGTTTTGTGAGCTAGTCCGTTTAACACCTTGGGTTAAAAGCGTCACATTAAAATCATAGTGTTTCACATTTTGACATGCTTTTTAAACCCCACGTATGGATTCTGAACCTATTTATCTCAGCCATTACAGTTCATTAATTGCATTGTGTATCCTCACAGCTAGGAAACTAAACTCAACATAGGATCATCTGTAGATCAAAATGCCTAAATCTTTCCATGCTCAGAGAAGTGGATACAAAATGTGATACTTAATGCGTATATAGCTGAATATAGCTAATGAATGATAATAAGCTTCTTAAAATCGGGGAACAGGGGCACTAAACGACCTGTCAAACTGGCGGTCGTGGGCATTAAATTAGAGTGGTGGGAGTGGGGGCAGTGTATTGGAGCAGGGGAGCAGTGTATTAGATTGGGGTAGGGGACAGTGTAGTAGAGTGTAGGGAGTGGGGGTAGTGTATAAGAGTGGGGGAGGGCAGTGAATTGAATTGGAGGAAGAAAGGACAGTGTATTAAATTTGAAGGAGGGAGGGGACAGTGTATTTAATGAGAGTGGTGGGAGTGGGGGGGAAATCATTGGATTGGCTGAGATCATAAAGTTCGATGATCTCAGCTAAAGTGAAGAACACACTCATAGGACTTTAAAATAAACATGATAACGTAATTTGTTTACATTCATACATTCTCCATTTCAGTCCCATTACCAAACGTTTCTTAATATGTCAAGGTAGTTGGACTGAAACATTGGTTATGTGCAAATGCACGTCTCCTGGAAATAAATGTGCTCTTTTGTTTACTTTGAAGCCTTACGAGCGTGAGGACATAAAGTGTCAGTGAGGTGACTTTTTTTTATATTGTACTTTTCTATGAAAACTGAAGTTTTGGGGGTTTTTGCGGCCCACATAAACCTAAGACTTGTTTATTTGGCCCGTGCTAGCTTTTGAGATTGACATGCTTGTTCTATGGAGAGAGCGGTAAAATTACACCACAGGTAAATGTAAAAAGTATTTTATGCAAGAATTGGTGGCTAGGAAGATTTAAAATAAAGCGAGATCTTTCATTTTAGATGATGGAAGAGTGGAAGTGGGATGGGCTGGGGAGGAGAAAGAAGGGTTTTAACAGTTTAAGTGATATGCTTTTTGAAGATGTGAGTTTCAGTGATGTTTTAAGTTAATGGAGACTGGGAGAGTGTCTAATGGAGTATTTTAGGAAAGGTGCAGGCCAAGAACAATCCAATAAGAATTAGAAGACATAATATGAGCAGAAACAAATTGAATAAGGAGCAAAAAAAACTGAATATAAAGTCGTCATATGTTATAAAGCAACAGCTAGAACAATTCTGGATGTGTATGCAAACGCCAAATGCGTAATATATGAACAGCAAAGTCTATAACATAGGTAGTTGGATGAGATACCAATACACTCTAACCCCAGCAGTTCTGGTATGCTTATTTTTTTTTCTATATGCATTTATATTTGTGGGGTTAAAGTGTATTGGTATCTCATCCAACTACCTATGTTTTAGACTTTGCTGTTCATATATTACGCATTTGGCGTTTGCATACACATCCAGAATTGTTCTGGCTGTTGCTTTATAACATGATATGACTTTATATTCTGGTTTTTCATGTAATGAGATACTCTATTAGTGTGTTCCCTCTGAATAAAGATACTTTTCTGTATGTAAACATTTATGGTTGTGCTCTTTATTCAATTGGTTTTTGTATGTATTTGGGCTTTTGGGAATAGAGTCTTATGTAAGTGAGCACCCTATATTTAATTTCTTTAGAGAGCTCCATTTGGGGCCAGTCTGTATTTAATATTGGAGTGTGCCTACCTTGGTTCATTTTTTACTATAATATGAGCAGAAGACAGATGCAGATCACCTTTAAACCACTGGATCTCAAAACAATAATCCAGAAGAAGTTTGTGTCCCAAAATCGAGTTGGTGATTGCCTTTTCTTTTGCCCAAATCTTTATACTTTACATTAAGCTATTTCTAATTAGAATTCTATATATCTTCCAGGAGAACGAAATGTAATATCCACATGCTCATGGTACCATTAAGTTGTTTTCAATGCTCTGTTGTTATAGACAATGTAAGAAGTATCTTAGAGAGTTGACTATTAAATTGTATAATATGATATCCACAGGGAGAAATTGCCTCAGTAACATTTGTCACTGGAAATCCAAGGAATTCTGTTAATTTTATGGTAAGTATGACTTCACACACTACTACTACTAACAATTGTTCAGATTCCCAATACTTGCACTGGTCATTTTTGGATTGAGCTGTGAACCTGAGAAGATGTGAATAGGTGCAAATATGTCCCTAACCCTAACTATAGCTGTAATTTATCTCAAAGTATAAGCCTGAAAACATGCATGTGGTATACCTTCAAGCTTTATATTATGTGACTAGCTATATAAAAAGTCTTTTTTTTTTTTATTCTTTATTTTCATTGTGCAGGTGGGTACATGTCAGTTTCCAACGCCACAACAGCGTATTTACATATGTCTATACATGCTTAACAGTGGCAAGAGTACGTGCACATTTTTGAAATATATAAGCAAGAACAATATAACAGGCTGAACCATAGTGGAATGCTACTGCAGTGTAGATTCTGGTGTGTGTGAGCCAAGTTGCATTGCGGTATACTACTGCAGTGTTAGAAGTGCTGGGACAAGCTAGTCTGCTTGAGAGTCTAGGCAGGTGCTTTAAACATGAGGAACAGCAGATCTAGGGGGTAGTAGTGAAGTATTTTAAGTAAATGAGCGGGCGGGTAGGCTACTCCGGATGGTTAATTCAGTTAGCCCCTTTGTTCATAACTATGTTGGACATATCGACACAGGACTCCTAGCTTCAGCATCCTTAGAGTCATTGTGGAGGTCAAAGGGGAAGGGCTAGAAAATAATTACAGCGCAAGAAGAATCACTGAGTTCTCTGAGAGTTCTGTCTAAATGTATGTAGATGTCAGGGCAGTGGCGACCTGATCAAAGACAGGTTTAATATCAATCACTACGTGACCTGCCTGTATGGCATTAAGTCATCTAACGGTGAGTGGGTGCTGCGTGCCGAGTGGCCAGGCTAAATATCATGCGCTGCCTCTCTATACATGCGACATGCAAAGAACAATTCTGAACAAACTAACCAAAACTAGGGGCGGAGCCTAGCCACCAGAGAGAGAAGTCGCACGACACTGCAGCTCCGACCCAAAAGCGGACAAAATCGTAATTTTTAGGGTCACCCCCGGCCATAACGAGCCCCCAGACGTCGGACCCACACACCTAACAACTATGGGACGCAAAACCAAAAAACCCAAGCAGGATCAACCTCACCTTGGGATGAATATCAGAGAAATGTGGCGCCTAGCACATGGCGCGGCCGGGCCCAAGATGGCCGACCTGTCGGGCGGTTGCTTCGATTTTTCGGATGACCTGGCTTCCGAAGAGGAAGAGACGCCTGAACTCACGCCGGCTAAACCCCCACCGACGAAACCGGACACATCCCCGGTCACACTATCGGCGCTCAAGGGTCTCCTTGCCGACCTACAGACCACCCTGCAGGCTGACATTGCCACAATCAGGGGAGGGCTGCAAGGACTGACAGGCCGAATTGACAAGCTGGAAACCACCACTCACCAGGACTCTCAGCGTATACAGGTGCTGGAGAAAGCGGTGCAAGACCTCCAGCGGCAGAACCAGACCCACGAATGCCGCTTTGCAAATCTAGAAGACCTACGGCGGAGGAATAATTTGAAGCTCCGGGGGGTACCTGATGCTGTCCCTGAAGCGGAGCTGCCACACCTGGTGCGGAGAATGACGGGGGACCTCCTACCACAAAAACAGGCGAAAGCAACACCCCTGGACGGGCTTTTTAGAATCCCCAAACCAGCTAGAGCCCCACCGTCGACATCAAGTGACCTGATAATTCAATTCAGGCACGGAACAGACAAGGCGGCGATCCTGAAGGCAATCAGGGGTAGGCCAAACTATCGTTTTGAAAACATGGCACTGGAATTCTATAATGACCTGTCCGGCAGCACGATGGCCTGGCGGAGGTCGCTCAAGCCCCTCACATCCATGCTCCAACAGCGAAACATCGAGTACCGCTGGCGAATGCCCCGCACGCTTCAGATCATACATGGAGAGACCACATACCAAATCCAAGACCTACGAGAGGCAGACACACTCCTGAGGGATCTGGGACTGCCGCAGGACATTCTAATCAACCCTCAGCAACAACCTGAACCCAGACACAAGCATACCTGGAATCCAAGCAAAATTACCCCGTTCACACCTCGACGAAACACAGGGGAACTGTATGCTGCAGCGACCACATGAAACAACGAGAGACGCTCTGACCGAGACCGAGGGTGACTGAAACGACCCTCAAGCTACTTCACTTTGTGACTTTAAGTTAATTTGAGTTCTTATTCTTATTATATATAAAAAAAAATTTTTTTTTTTTTTTTTCTCTCTCCTTAAAGTTATAGCAAGGTGATTGAAATATCTTTCTCCATTTGTGTATGACCCAACTATCTCACGCTTTACGCCGAGATGGAGCTGGCAGTGACCCCAGCCATTCATAATAAGTAGCATGCAGTATGATATGCCACGACTCACTGCAACAGATAGCGCTACAAATGCAGTCACAGAATATCCTGCACACCCTCTGCACACAATCCTGTACATAGTTTAACTGTGGTTTAGCAGTATTTATATAAAGGTCACACAGGAATGTAAGACGCCCTGCCTGGTGGCACCCTGTATTAAAGGAAAATTTTAGGTATGATAAAACCTTCATGGCATTACCAGTTCCCCGGTAGTCAGCATTGCTCACCCTAACATAATCTGCAACACAATCCTTCTGTGCTACCTACTACGTGTCATGACTACTCGATCCAGCAGTTGCTACATTACAGATATGCCTCTCACTTATACACCATTAAGCATAACCAAGACGAGGCCTAGATAGTATAGCGATGACACGCTACGTAAATATTAAGCCACTGTTATCATCAGATAAAGTAAAGCAATAAGACAGACGTAGTTGCATAGCTACAACTTTGCTACCTTTCATCTATTATCTATCAAACTGAAAGAAAGCGGCCAAAAATGATCTAAATGCAGATATATATATACTCACCCACTGCTTAATGTAACGTATTCACTATGTTGTAAGCTTTAGCCTGTTGAAATTTCAAGATGTTACTACATTGTCTAAACCTGTTTAAACACCACCAAGTTATCGAGTCTGACTGACAAGCTTCATAATCATTTAACATATAAAATGTGCACGTATTAACATGTACCCTATTGTTACCATTATTACTTGAAAGCATGAGGAATGCCGTTGGGGTACCGCATGCTCATTGTTATACCTCTACGCACTACAAAAATAAAGAATTTAAAAAAAAAAAAACTAACCAAAACTAAAAATTAAACACACTTGTAACATGAGCCGTAAGGTTTCTGGAATTGTAGTTATAGATACGTCTATACATGTTAGTCTAGCGACACACTGCGGTATATAAATCTACATTTATCATGGCAACAGACGCGATATACATGGCAGAGTGTTAGTGGTAAGTGATCACGATCTAGTCCAGACAGGCAAAAACCGGATGCTCCGCTGAGTTATCGTGGGAGATACAAAAAGGCAAACAATAGAAAAAGGAAAAGTCTCTGTTAACAAAAGCTTGTGGACTTCGGCTATTCCCCCCTTCCCTTCCTTGCGGTCATCCGACCTTTATCTCGGCTGGGCTATAGGCCTGCATGTGCAGATAGTTTGTGCCATGTTGCCAGAGTTCTGTCAGGTGCAGCGTAAACCGGCACAGTCCCAAAGTTTGCCAGGGATGTCCAACAAACTGAGCCTTGAGTGCAAGGTTGCCCATGTGTGTTGGATTTGGTTGTCCAATGATATCATCTGTCTGAAGACCTCTGACTAGTCCGCTAGTGTGTGTCTGCGGGAGTCAGTCATGTTGGTGAGGGTAGTTGCTATCCAGACTGGCCGTGGTGATGAGCGTGAGTCGCTGCAATCAGGGGCTACAAATAACGTGTGGTATAAGTGTCTCAGAAGTGTCTGCTGGGGTGACTTACATTCAGCGTCCAAAGATTGTATAGTCCCAGGGGTGCCGTGTCTAGGTGGTGACCGCGGCATAGGATTCAGGGGTTGAACCTCTCGGGATAAACAAGTTGATTTTTGCTGGGTCCCAGGTCTGCGCTGGGGTGGTCAGGTGAAGAAGCCTTTCCTGATTGAGCGAGGTCATATAAATAGTCTTTTAACTGGTGCTATGTTGTTCTTGCATGACAGGTGCACTTGAAAGTTAAACAAAATAGAATCTATATATTCAGCTCAGGAGAAAATGGTCATTAGTTCAGAGAACAGGAAAAATCCACAAAGTAACTGCTGAGAGCACTTCTGTTTTTAGATTCTGTTATGGCATTATTTATAAAAAGAGAAATATGTTAAGAATCACTATAGCTAATATAATATGCTATAGCAATTATAATAAGTGCAAGAGTTTATCCCGACTTATGACTTGGGATGAGTAGAACTGCATTTTAAACTGAGTGGAGCCATAGTGCAGCTGCTTTCACTATACCCATAGCCTGGTTTGCTGTGATCCGGTCCATGTGCAGCTATTGAAAGGGATGTAGTCATCGATTTTCGCTCTCTCCTCCTTTCTCCAAATCATCGTGGCTCTAAGTCACTCTCACAGGATAGGCATCATGTGTTCCATACAGCATCAACTGTGCAATATTATGAGCAAAAATTTCTGTTCTCATCATAACGAGAGCAGGCCACATGACTCCTCTAATGAGCCTGATGGCTGCAGCACTGTAGCTTAAGTGGCCAAAAGTCAATGACCGGATTGTGAAGCCATCCCTAAAATACTGAGGTCTTGAATAGTGTTCCTTCTGGACTTGCTTTGTGAGCAATCCATATTTCTATTACAGTGGCTCCTTGATATTTGTATCCCATAACTTGTATTGCACACACACATGCACTTTCCTTATCCCTATACTTATACCTATGCAACATGCATGTGGTGTTTCCCTTCTTAACTGGGTCATGTTGACACGAGAGAGCTGGTAACTTTTGACTTTGGGGCAGATACAAATAAAGGGCCTATTTATATGACAGGCAATACCTGAGATTGACAGATTGACAGATGGACATTGCTAGGGTTGGGAAATGAAGGGATGCCTTATCCCCCAAGTTTTGATGGACATGTATCACTTATATAAAGGAAGGGCTGCCTTGTAGAATGTAGAAGAGGCAGGGAGTAAATCTGGAATTGCAGCAAGTCCATGTACTGTCAGTCAATATGATAGAATTATTTGTGTTTATTGAAACATGTCGGATATGGCAACTTTGGCAAGGTGTGACGGTAGATATCCGTGCACCCTTTTATGCCCAAAATACATGTTTCTCACAATTCCATTGCCACTAACCTTTTTTTTTTCTCTCAATTAAATGTAGTCAACATCCAACACATATAATTAATATATTTTTCAGGCTAACCAATCATATTTGGCAGTGGAAAAATATGAACCTCTAACTGGAAAATGGAATGTAGTACATAATGATGCCTCCTGGGAGACCAGGTGAGTTATTCATGATCAGTAGCACACAGTTGGTGGAATCGTGTGTGTGTGTGTTTGTGTGTGTGTGTGTGTACAGTGGAGTACTTACCTGGGGAAAGGGGGCTATCGACCCCATGTGACATGGCGTAAAGCATTACACAGAGAAGCCCTCCTGTCACCAGAGCAGGCTCCTGCAGTTGCCATGACATATGCCTACACTACACTGTAGATTCTGGCTTGGGGCAGACACTACAGGCTGCAGTGGAGCTGCTGGAATCTATCTGTATTTCCCCTGCACAGTTCATCGCCATGTACTATTGTCAGGAGAAGTAACATTAACCCAACCGTGGCATCAGCACAGAGCTGCAGGAAGCTGTTCAGTCAGTGCACAGACTGATCCCAGCAGCAATAATTAAAAATGAAATGTATGTGTGTGTATGAATGTGAGTGTGTGCATACGAATATAAGTGTGTACGTGAGTGGATTTTAATATATGTGTGTGTATGTGTCTTAATTTGAGTATAGGTATATTAATGTATGTGAATATAAATGTTAGTGTGTGTGTGTGTGTGTGCATATGAACGTAGGCATGTGTCTGCATTAATGTATATAAATATGTATGATAAATATATATGTATATGTTAAAGGTGATTCAAGTAGGTATTTTTATGCATATGTCTTCTAGTATAAAAATGGGCTCAACAAAGAACCCTTTTTTGCCTCATAATTCCACTTTACATGGATTCCTTGGAGTATGTGTCTGCTGTATACAATAGATTTGAAACACAACTCAGGAAGAGGAGCAATGCCAGTGAACCACTCATGGACAGCGGTTTTACTGTTAAAGGGAGATTTCTGTGGGAAAAGCAAGTATTATGGCTTGACTGGTGTGTGTATTTGTCTTGAGCAATGTATTAACTATCCACTTACTTCAGGTGGAAGGGGTTTTCAGCTACACTTTTTTTTCCCCCACAACTCTGTTCGTATGTATTTTACAACTAATGTCAAGCCTCCATTGCAAGCCAGTAACCAACCTCATGCTGATGAGTTGAATTAACAACGAAACAGCTGTCCATGAGTGGTTCACTGGCTGTGCTCCTCTTCCTGAGTTGTGTCACTCTCACAGGATAGACATCATGTATTTCATACTCCAAGGAATCCATGTATAAAGTGGAATTATGAGGCAAAAATGTGGTTCTTTGTTGAGCTCATTTGCATACACCTACCCAGAATCCCGTGCAGTAGTGAGAGCACTGTTAAAGTGAAATTTCTTTGGGAAAAGCAAGTCTTATGGCTTGACTGGTGTGTGCATTTGTGTTTAGCAAAATATTAACTACCCACTTACTTCAGGTGGAAGGGGTTTTCATCCACACTTTTTTCCCCCATCACAACTCTGTTGGTATGTACTCTGCTAGTATAAATAACTTTCAGTGATATCCTTCTATCACCCAAAAATCTGAATATGAAATCTGATGTTACAAAATAAGAATTATATATATTTTTATTCTATACACAATGTAAACAGCAATACATACGTTAAAACTTCACAGATGGTACTGCTTAATGATGTTATAGCGAAAAGGAGCTCCTTCATGGATTGTAAGTGCCTTTGTCCAAAAACCCAGAGGAACATAATGTTGCCCTCTGTCTACAGTTCTTTTATAGACATGACTATAATGCCTTTAGAGCAAAAGAAATGATCCAGGCACTCAAGTATGACTAAATGACAGTTTTAATGAAGACCAGCGCCTATAACAAACAGCAGCAACATTTCTACCGCCAAATAAACTCTTTATAACGGTCGAAACATTGCTGTTGCTTGTTATAGGCACTGTTCTTCACTACAACTGCCATTTAGTCTTTCTTGAGTGCCTTGACTATTTCTGTTGTTCGACGTGTGTATGGTTTGCCAGACTTGTTCTGGAGTGAAACCTTGTATTGATGCCTTTGAAGAGTGCAGATTCCTTCTACCTTAAAACTTTAATGATGTCAGAACTTTAACCCCTTAAGGACACATGACATGTGTGACATGTCATGATTCCCTTTTTTTCCAGAAGTTTGGTCCTTAAAGGGTTAAGATAAAATTCTGGCCGTATAAAGACACATATGAAGGTCCTCACTCCTCTTACTATACTTTTCACTCACATTCCAGACTTCTCAATGTACAGAATGGAAAATTGAGATCTTTTTAAGACACTAGTCATCCTCACTTAATATGCATAGGAACACAGAATTTGTAATATGTTACAATATAATGTGAGTGCACGTGTCTGTAATTTCCCCAACATGAGGGTGTTAGGGGCATTGCAACTTGGGTGCCAGATAACCTAGGTACACCTTTGTGTATTCGTCCCATGTTTTGTTTATTTTTGTTCTCTCGTGTTCTGTTTGACTCTAACGCTGAATCCATTACAGCAACCAGGCAAAGCTTTAATGGTCAAGTCGCTCACTGATATACATGGAGGGGAAATTGGTTAAATATGTAATATTTTGTATAAATGTGAATATGAAATCAAAGACATCACTAGATATGTTGAGCACACTATAGTCTTATATCTTATAAAGCTAGCATAGCTAGTGAACTAAAATTGTGGTCAGTCAAGCAATAAAAAGGTTATAAAACAAATAATGGTCAAGTACCTGGCAGAGGAACACTGTGGCAAGAGGTCTGCGACATTAGCCTTGACATTAGTAAACCTGGACTGCACTGATCCAGGTACATCAGTGGCAGCTACACACTGAGTATTCCTAATCTTGAGAACACCCAAGATGTGTGATCATTTGGAAAATTGTCCTAAAAATCTAAAAAGTCATGTCACATAGCTGAAAAGAGACATGTGTCCACCAAGTTCAAAAGAAGGCAAAAAAAACAGGTGTTAGGTGTATGAAACCCTAAATGAAATACTTGAGAGTAAGCAAAATAATAAACAAAGTCCAGGGCAAACAAATCCAGCAAGGGCAAGGCAAGGTCAGGCAGTCCAATAGTCAAAAATCCAGGCAGCAAGTATTAGAAACAGAAGGGCAGGCTAAAGGAGATCAGCTTTAACACAGGTAACTTGTAGGGTAGTAGCACAGAACAACTGATCAATGAAGGTTCAGCTGTTCAGAGTTTAAAAAAGGTGCCAAATGTAAGGCACACCTATTCTGACATGCCTCCATAACACCTTATTGGTGCATGGAACGGTCAGTTTAGCAGGGTTGCCATGGGAGCTAAATCATGCATAATTAGTTCCAGCCCAGAGGGCTGTCCTGCAGCATGGAACAATTGTGCACCTCTCGCAAGCATCTATCGTTGCCTAGGAGACATGACGCAATCAGTGTTTGGCGCTCATGGCCCATCCCTTGCATTCGGCATGCGTGCGTTCGGGCGGCCCCGGCTCTGAGGTGCTGCCGGAGCAACGAGGGAACTGAAGTGAGTCTTGACAGGCAGTCAGAGATATCCTTGGACCAAGAAGCTATAACCGCAAAAAATTTAAATTATATCCCTAAATATTGTTTTTGCAAGTATTCACCCAATTGCTTTTTAATCATCTGTATAGACTCTGATAAAACCACTTCTTCAGGTAGATCACATCCACTTCAACACCCTGATCTATACTTCTTCATAGAACGCAGTTAGGTTAGTTTGACATGACCTATGTTTCATAAAACCATGCTGATTATTCCTAATAACAAAGTTCTTCCCAATGAATTCATGAATATTATCCCTTAACAACCCTTCAAATACTTTCCCAGCCACAGAAGTTAAGCTCACATGACTATAATTTACAGGCAAATATTGTGAACCCTTTTTGAATATAAGGACCACATCTGCCTTCCTCCATTCCTCCAGGCATTTTTTTTTGTTATAAATGCTCAGATGGCATTATTCCATGACATAATCAATGAGTAAGCAAATCATTCATTCTGATTGCCCATCTCCGACCCCATCATCAGCCTTCCTTTCAAACCATTGTCATTTTTCTAGCTCCTTATCTGTTGTCCCATCTAAACCCACCTCCATATGATGCTCAAGAGTGTAATTTTCTTTCTTTTTTAAGATATTACTGGCATAAAGGAACTGGAAACCAGAGCAATGGGACAGTTGAATGGCATATACCTCTATCAGTTCAACCTGGAACCTACAGAATTCGGCACAATAGCCACTACAAAGAGAGATTACTTCCTGAAACTATTAAAGCTTATGAGGGTATTTCTTCTGACTTTGAAGTAATAAATCCATACCTCAGATGAAAACCAAACAGACACATGTACATGTTTGTAGAGCAGTTCTTTGTGAATTATTCAGGTGAACATCAGTCACTTAAAAAGCATTTTTACTTTGTAAATTTCACACATGCATCCATGGATCAAGGAATATTTTGATGTTTTTAATTCCTGTTAAGGAAGAAAACCAGCCTTTTTGAATTAAGTATATAAATTACCTGCTTTGTAAAAATGCTAAAATTATCAATTTCTCTAAATATTGTACCATTAGTATGTATATGTTATAAAGTGTTTTGTTGTGTGATAAATGAAAATTAAAAAATTCCTATAGAAAATATAATCTTATGTTATCGAGTGTTGGTAAGAGATATGCCCATGCAAACGATTAGCTAGGAAATCAAACCACATATATTACTAAAGTTCTGATAAATGTTTTTAATTATTAAATTTGTCATAAAACATTATTGTTCTAATATAAAATAATACATATTTAGTTATATAACAAGTAAATAGGTTTGTTAATTTGTTTTCAGTTAATTTGTTTTCAGTCAAATTGCAGATCAATCGACTTTTAGGCAAATGGTGGGTCATCTGAATTCCGTAACTCATACTGCCATCTCAATTCAATGTTCTACCCATGAGGCCCACATAAAAAAATAGAATTGATGGTTAGGGGACAGCCAATAAATCAAAATTAAAGTGTAAATTACTATTCTACTTGGGAGTAATTTAATCAGAATTGAGTCGACCAAGTTTTGACCGAAATTAGCTTCAATAAATATAAAATTGCAAAGAATATACATATAACTATCATATATATAAATATTATGTATATATTTGGCAGTACACTGCCAGATACACTGGTTCATCCAAATTGTTTTCCCGAATAGTTTGCATGGACAATATTTAGTTTGAGTTGAATTGCCGCACCAAGTAAATCCAGTCGGACCAAACACATTTTTTTTCTCTGAAGAAATGATTCAGCCATACACAAGTCTACCTGTTTTACTTTATGGCTGCTCATATACATTGTAACACATGTCACTAGATGGACCTGGGACTGCTCAAGTTACAAATATGGGGTATTTTAGACCTGGAACGCACCAAGGGGAGTAGAGTGGAAGTAGAGTTGGCACTTCCGAGCTACGTGCCAAGTCTTTTCACTTGGTGTCAACGGAAGCAGCACAATGTAGATAAAAATCCAGTAATATGATGCAGTGTCCAGGCTTGCACTCAGAGAGGAGACATGGGAGGAAAACCAACTCCCACATCCAGCTAGCCAAGAAAGCCAAGTTCTGCTCAACTCAGCTAGCCAAAGAGATCTGGTCAGTGCTAATGAGCTCCACAACAGCAGCAGAGATAGGTATTAATTATTATTAATAATGTGTTGTTTATTTTATTTTAAAGAACACTAAATTTATTTTAAATAACACTAGAGGCCATGTACATAGGATAACAAATGCCTGGGCCTGAGAAAAAAATAAAAAGGCGAATGACAAACGGAATCCTTATTTGTAGCCGAGGTTAAAATTCAGAAGATCAATTCGAAGAACCATGAGACTTTCGGAGAGGCTTGAAGGAACAGAGAGGAGGTATTCAAGGCAAATGGACCTGAAGCAGAAAGGTGAATAGGAGCAAAGGTGAAGGGTAATAGACACAATATCAGTGCAAGAAGTCACTGACGATGTACATTTAAATACACTTCCACTGCAGCCATCAGCTCCTCGTTTAGAGTGGTGCAGAACATAGTTGAAGGCATAACAAATTGAAAAAACATAATGCAAAGCCATAACACTATCACATATACAGAGTGAGGGAGAAGAGGTAGTAAACTGCTGACCATGAGTTTCTAGGCTCTGAATCTCAGTGCTTTTGCTCTCCCTCCCAATGTTTTTGTTGAGTCTGTGAATGGATGCAGCATAGTGATAGAGACAGGGCATGATAGAATATAATATTACTCACATCTCTCTAGACTGTGTTAGTGAACTGTTCTAGCTGAGACTCAAATAGGAGCACAGGTGTGCGCAGCACATTTTATTAGGGTGTGCACACGAAAATTCTTTGCCCATGTTATTTTTTAATGACTGCTAGTAAGAGAGGAAGGCATAGGGGGTATAAAAATAAGGTGGCACAGTGGCAGAAAAATAACAGTTTTAGATATACAATGTTCTGTGCTAGATATACAATTACAGGGAGTGCAGAATTATTAGGCAAGTTGTATTTTTGAGGATTAATTTTATTATTGAACAACAACCATGTTCTCAATGAACCCAAAAAACTCATTAATATCAAAGCTGAATATTTTTGGAAGTAGTTTTTAGTTTGTTTTTAGTTATAGCTATGTTAGGGGGATATCTGTGTGTGCAGGTGACTATTACTGTGCATAATTATTAGGCAACTTAACAAAAAACAAATATATACCCATTTCAATTATTTATTATTACCAGTGAAACCAATATAACATCTCAACATTCACAAATATACATTTCTGACATTCAAAAACAAAACAAAAACAAATCAGTGACCAATATAGCCACCTTTCTTTGCAAGGACACTCAAAAGCCTGCCATCCATGGATTCTGTCAGTGTTTTGATCTGTTCACCATCAACATTGCGTGCAGCAGCAACCACAGCCTCCCAGACACTGTTCAGAGAGGTGTACTGTTTTCCCTCCTTGTAAATCTCACATTTGATGATGGACCACAGGTTCTCAATGGGGTTCAGATCAGGTGAACAAGGAGGCCATGTCATTAGATTTTCTTCTTTTATACCCTTTCTTGCCAGCCGCGCTGTGGAGTACTTGGACGCGTGTGATGGAGCATTGTCCTGCATGAAAATCATGTTTTTCTTGAAGGATGCAGACTTCTTCCTGTACCACTGCTTGAAGAAGGTGTCTTCCAGGAACTGGCAGTAGGACTGGGAGTTGAGCTTGACTCCATCCTCAACCCGAAAAGGCCCCACAAGCTCATCTTTGATGATACCAGCCCAAACCAGTACTCCACCTCCACCTTGCTGGCGTCTGAGTCGGACTGGAGCTCTCTGCCCTTTACCAATCCAGCCACGGGCCCATCCATCTGGCCCATCAAGACTCACTCTCATTTCATCAGTCCATAAAACCTTAGAAAAATCAGTCTTGAGATATTTCTTGGCCCAGTCTTGACGTTTCAGCTTGTGTGTCTTGTTCAGTGGTGGTCGTCTTTCAGCCTTTCTTACCTTGGCCATGTCTCTGAGTATTGCACACCTTGTGCTTTTGGGCACTCCAGTGATGTTGCAGCTCTGAAATATGGCCAAACTGGTGGCAAGTGGCATCGTGGCAGCTGCACGCTTGACTTTTCTCAGTTCATGGGCAGTTATTTTGCGCCTTGGTTTTTCCACACGCTTCTTGCGACCCTGTTGACTATTTTGAATGAAACGCTTGATTGTTCGATGATCACGCTTCAGAAGCTTTGCAATTTTAAGAGTGCTGCATCCCTCTGCAAGATATCTCACTATTTTTGACTTTTCTGAGCCTGTCAAGTCCTTCTTTTGACCCATTTTGCCAAAGGAAAGGAAGTTGCCTAATAATTATGCACACCTGATATAGGGTGTTGATGTCATTAGACCACACCCCTTCTCATTACAGAGATGCACGTCACCTAATATGCTTAATTGGTAGTAGGCTTTCGAGCCTATACAGCTTGGAGTAAGACAACATGCATAAAGAGGATGATGTGGTCAAAATACTCATTTGCCTAATAATTCTGCACTCCCTGTATTTACAAAATAACGTAAACTTTGCTTCTTAACGTTGGCATAAGTGGCTGAAGAGGTGATGTTCTTGCCTCTTACTGCTATCCCTGCTTTGTAATACTCTAGCATGGCCTGATGGGAAAGGAAGTGATGTCACACTCCCTACCACTACAGGCTCCGCTCCATAGAAAATGACAGCGCGGGGAAAGCAGTGTGAGCAGGCACACACATCTCCTGCATTTTGGCAGTCATTGATACCACCAACGGCAGCAGCAAACACAGTGTATCAAGGGTAGTCCAGAGTCAAAGCACACAAAATGATCAGCAACCATGCCGGGGAGAAACGAGGCAGCGCATGGACAGCATGGGGGATATTTTGATCTTCTGCCGGTTAATGCTGCAGTCCGGCTTTCAGGCTTTATAAGGGTATGCCTGGGCACGTCTACAAATAGGAGAAATTACATAGTTTAATGACATCTTTCTTCTGATGGTCTTCAAAATCAAGGACCCCATCTAAATTATATGTCGTGTTTCTTCCTGCTTTATACACAAACTTCCAATATGTGATGATAAAAAAAAGTCAAAATATACTACGGACTATTTAATTCACTGTAAAACCACACTTTATTGCACTTACATTCAGCTAAACATAAAATCGAAGCATTTATAAAAATGAAAAAAATTAAAATAAAAACTTCTAAAAACTGCACAAATTGCAATTTTTTTTTCTTTAAGTCTCGGAAGAAGATTTCAAAAGGTTAAGAACCAATCTATAAAATAATTTAATTCTTACATAAATTCATTAATTGTCTACCACTAAACCAATATACTTATAAAGATGTGACAGTGATATTGTCTAATAATGTGTTTTGCCTTTCTGGATATTAAATTTGCCAAGACTCTTATTTCTCAACACACAACAAAATTTGTCCTGCCAAAAGGAAAATAAAGTCAAGACCTTCTGAATATTACAGAGATGATTATTTGTACATTACATGAGGTCATTACTTTTATGTCTTGGATAAATAATTAAAAAATGTATCATCTGGCATGAATTATTCTCTATATCTATTTTTTATTTTTTAAATAACAAAATGGCTGTAACAATCAAAAATCCCCCCAAAAGAATGAGGTCATATGTGGTGTTAAATGTCCATCAAATCATTTTATTTATCTGTAAACAAGATTTTAACATCCATGGGAATGATAGTTCTGAAGATGTTCCCAGGCCAAGTGAGTTTATTCGTACTAAAGCTAAATGATTTAAACAGAATTTTTGGTTTATTTAACACTTGTTTTTGGTTGAAATGATTCCATATTGGTTACAATTCAAGTTAAAAAAAAAAAAAGTTCGGATTAGAAAATGTACATCGTTCATGCTTGTTTCTAACGTTGTGCCAAAGTCATCAGGCAGATTCTTGTTAGTTGTCTGTTCCAAGTCTTGTTAACATGCACAGAGGCTGTATAGTTATAGTGAGCAACAAGCAAAGTACGAGGAGAACTGGGACTTTGTTTGTCCCCTTATCATGCAGGGACAGTTCATTAACTGTATATCTGTGTTCTAGCATACCGGGAAACAGATCTTTCCAGCTTTGATATAAAATATATCACAATACTTAACAAGATATAAAGACACAAAGGTTAATTAGCTTCATAGAAATACATGTTATTTAG